ACAAGCGAAAGTACTGCAATAGAGTATTAATTTGAATAGTCACATGTTTTGTCTACTTCTGTACTTTCAAAAGTTCTGCAAACGTTAGAAATGCAGTTTAATTGGATGTGGGTGAGAGAGGTCACCGTTGTCATCCAGCCAGACACCATAATTGTCGACAGGCGCGGCCTGTTTGGACAAGTCTGAATCATAAAACAATGCACTTAGTGTTTTAGACTCGATCGAGCAATCTGTCTGAAAGAAATTATAAAAGTCACACTATTTGATAACCGAAGCGATTTCTAATCATGCTCATTTCCTTGCCCTTTATGAATTATTGAGCGTGAGAAAGTGCCCACACCTGACTTGTCCTCAACTTAGTTCGCCTCGTGTGGAATCCTAACAACTCGATTCCTATCATGATAAACAAAGAAATGGTATTAGGGGCAACAGGGTACCAAAACATTGCCGCAAGGAAAAGATAAAAAACGGACGACGACTCAGGGAAATCTTTCGGATCTTTTAGGATTCTTCAAGGAACAAAAAAATCCGGCATCAGAACATTCCGAGGCAGGTGAAGGGCCTTATTGATGAGCAACAACAATAACTTTATTGACTTCATCTTCGACATGAAGATTTCAGTACCAAAACAATGACAAATGAAAAAAGTGGAATAAAAGTTAAGTAAGAAAGAAAGGAACAATTGAATATTATCATAAAAGAAAAGTTAGCATAGCATCGGTCTGAAGGATAAGACACAGATAACATAGTCAAAGAGTCCCAGTAAACGGATATTTCATAAGAACTAAAATTTTGTACCGCGGCCTTCCAGCCTTTTTAAAATTATCTACTATATTATATTATATTTGTACTAAAATTTGCAGACCTTGACAGACCGCCTAACTGAAAACCTTAAGCAACTTCCTTTCGGTTTCCCTCGCAATGAAGTCGGTTCATAACTAACTCCTCACCAGCACGCCAAGTGATAAAACTTCAGTTCAAACTTAATAGCTTATTCTTTAACCCGGCGATTTCATTTGTGCGAGTCACGGACGAATATCAACCAAAACAAGATTCTCTCAAATATCTCACTTTCCCTCTGGCTTATACATAAACATTCTCTTCTTTTATTTGCGTTCCCAAAAAAGCTTATTAAACCCTAAAGCTTATAAAGAAGGAAGGATGCAATTTTAGAAACTTCCGTTTGTGTTATCAAATGTGAAGTCGACCGAAGAAGACGGTGAAACTCACTGTCTTTATTTAGCAGTGTTTTCTCTACTTGGTCTTCCTCATATAAATAGGGAAGCTTGACATTTCTCGAGTACGTGGGTCGATGCTGATGATCAAACGTTCGAAAAATCTTCAACCTTCTACAAATTTCTAAACTTCCGCGACAAAATTGATTGTTGCATGGGAGAGGTACCTATTGTATGTCGCTAGGCCACAACAGGTACTTTGTGATTAAAATGAACAACTTCAGTAGAATTTGAATTAGCCAAACAAGTTTCACTCCATTAAGCGTAGCTTTGCGCTAAGTTTTGCGAGAGGAAAGCGTCTAATCAAGAGGATATTTGGAACTGGCAACTTTCACGGTACCCCTGCCCAAGGTGTCAGAATCTCGCAGATCAGTGACGTGTTTACTTACGTATGCTTCCGGTCGCGCACACCCATATTATTTACCGTTGAGTGGTTCTTATTGTCCCGCTATTCTGAAGCTGTAACGATGCCTTACGAGCGAAGTCATTATCTAGATCTCCGGTTGTCACAGTCGTGCGTGCGTCTTTAAGCAAGTCGTTTTACAAGTCTTGTGAAAGAGAGTTCGTCTCTTTCTTCTACACTGTACAAACATCTGGCAGGACATTTTGCTGTGTAGAGCTGCACTCTAGATGGCACATTCATTAATACAGAGAACACATTTGTTGCTTGTACTGCTGGAGTTCCTTTGCCGGTCATCAGGTAAATACTGTGTAGATGTTACTCAGTGTTTTACAGCCTTTCCCTGTGGTTATTGCCAAGACGCTTGCCAAGCTGAAGATTCGAACGTATGGCAATTGCGGTAATTTGCTAACGGGGTGCCCATGTTTATAAGAGTTATTACATATTCATACATTCATAAGCTTCATTGAAAATTGAGTTTAATAATTATGACTTCATAAAAGACTCCCAGAGAGAGTGAAGTCTTTTAATTACTACAATGCCAAACGTCCCTCTCTTAAGAGAGAAGAATTAATTTTTTTAAAGGGCGATACGAGCTCAGATTGTATCTAGCAGAGGACAGGGTGACGAATTGCCAGTTTTAAGATTCACGTCATTTTTCTGTTTTAATTTATTTTGTCATTCATAATGATTAGTTCTGTGTTTCACAGCTGTCTCTATCTCAAGTCAAATTACCGAGCGTGAAAGTTCATTGCCACTGTTTGAGTTTTGCGATAACTGAATGAGGAGAAGTGGGCCTAGAAACTATTTCACAACTCTTTATGATACGTGTCTACATCTTCAGCTGTTGCGTTTCCAAGCTTGCCATCGGCCGGATATCATTCGTACTTTAAATTCACTTTAATAAACCATGTAAACGCGGTCTTTTAGCATGTTTTGTCTTGCATAATTCATAACTCAAAAGGGTCGGTTCTACGAAGAAAGATATAAAAGACGACCTTTTGACAAAACCCAAATAGCAATATGTTTGTAAAAACATTCTAATTATTTTTGGTTTTGTTGCACGCTCGTTAACTTAGCGAAGAGGTTTCTTGCCTTATCTTGTCATAATCTCTTTTTTCTTACTATTTACCATATGAAACTGAAAGCGTATGAAAAGAATATGATCATTTCCATCGATAGCGAGTGTCCAAGCCAGGTACTTGCTGAGAATTTTTATCTACGCGCGAGTGATTCTTTCATTTCGAAGACTTGATTTCCGGTCAGGACAGCTTCGGGATTCACGAATAAGACAGTGTTTTCGAGAGCGAGATCTAATCCCTGTATTTGCGACCTGTCAAAGAACATTGATAAATGACTTTAATGTAGTATTTCTTGGGGACTTTTGTATAAAAAAGCGTAGCGTGGTGGATAAATTATTTCAAGTGTTCCCGATGACGTTTCCCATAGAGGGGTTTACTGCACGTGAATGAAAATATATTTCCTCCGGGAGATATAAATATTAGGCGGAGAAATTAATTCCTCTATTTGAAGATTCTTGCGATTTCATGGTTGTAAATAAAGGAGCCTTTATTCTAAATGTTGATTTTTGGTTTTCAGAGAGCGTGTTGTCTTTTAAGTGTAAAACAAAAAAGTCATTGATTACACGCCAGTGTAAATACAAAATTAATTAAATTGCAAATTAAAAAAATGCCTTTTCCAATGTTTGGTTTTAAAAAGTAATAATCAAGGACTTATTTAAACAACTTCAGCTGTAAGTCACGTCTTCAGTTTAGTGTTCTTACGATTTTCTCCTCTTTTATAAATCTGTTTTCTTTTTTCTGTGACAGTGTAATTTCACCTTTACAATATTTAAAATACTTTCTAACGTTTGAAATACTTATATTCATTTAGTTGTAAATAATTTTTTAAAGTTTTGCAATTAACTTGTTCAGTAATTACTGCTATTCATGAACGCCTCCACGTTTCTGGAACTACATTGTTCCACCAGCCTGGCCCATCTCCTATCATTTATCCTGTATGTCAATACCCTATTGTAAATATCGTTATCACCGACAACTATCACTCAAATTCTCTTTCCACATTTTTTTAATTACTGGAAATAATTTTCCTTTGCTAGGGGGGATTTAAGTGGGAGTAAATTCCTTTTATTGTAAAAAAACTAAGTTATTGAATAAAGTCAGCGCTACAAGATTATACCGTAAGATAAAATTTACATTTTAAACCTTTCACTCCCAGATGAATTTCCGGTTAAGTTGAGATTTGTTGTCCCTTTAACTTTTAAATCTGTGGATGAAATACTTTAGTCTTACCATTTAAATGAAACCTCTCTTAGGTGGTAGACAGCTTTGGCATAGGACCATTATTTTTCTCTTTAGATTTTACTAAATAAAATATTTAATTTGTTATTATTATTATTATTTTTTGTTGTGGCCACTATTACACTGTATGAGTGAAAGTTGTGACCGTTAGAGATCCCCCTACTCTCTTTTCCATGAAAGTACAAGCAGGGGGAGGGGTAGGGTAGATAACATTCAAATGCAAAGTTTGTCACATGCAAACAATTCCTTTCTTTAGGAAACTGTCATTGAACTTCATCACCCACTGTCAGAGAATAAATAATATTTGAACCCACATATCATTGTCAAATTATTTACACATGTCAGGAGAGGTGCAATTTTAAGACAAGGTTTTCCTAGTGCCTCATTAATTAAATTGTCACAGTCACAAATGACAATTGCTTGCTGACTAACAGACTAATAAGTGTATTAGTAAATTCTAAACTAACAATTAAGATGCAAATGTAGTTGTGATATTTATTTTAAGTTTTAATTCATGGTGATGTATAACTTTGAAGATTTCAGTGCACAGTGAAAATTTTGTCTTAAACTAATTATAAATAAGGATAAAATATAATTAATATATTTTTTGCAATGGTTAGCTTTTACTCTTGAGGAAAACACCCACCAATGATAACTGCTTTTTTTAATCATATACTCACATAATTGGAATTGATTGATTGTAATATATTATTATTGAAGGTAGCCTACAAATTACAATTTCCAGTATTTTTCATCTCTGTGATGGAACGATGTCACTTTTCCTTGTTGCAACGTTAACCCATTCACCCCTGGGAATTTTGGCAAAAAACTCCCTTGAAGCCAGTTGATCTATTTTCTAGTCACTGTCTGGTTACAAAGAGCCAAAACAGCCCAAAACACTATTTATGTATCAAGTCCTGTATATGCTGCCTTCTGTTCCTGATGCTAAATATCAGCTTCCAAAGTTGAGCATTCACAGAAAGCAAAATTTATTTTTCTCCCCTCTTCTTTCACTTCTCTTCTAACCTGAGAAAATACTAACATTTTTTTTATGTTCTTTATTCAGCAGATTCAAAAGAGACACCTAAATTAATTAGAGAAAAACGAACGCCTTCTTACAAAGTTGTTGCAAAAGGCTATTCTGTAGATCTTGACTGTCGGTTTAAAGAACCTTATAGCTTAGACGATGTTACATTGTCAAAAGAATTGGATACCCTTACACAGACCCCAAGAAATGTTGATGGGGTGAAAATCACCAAGAGTGGACAGATATTTACAATAAACGACGTGCAAAAGTCCGATGAAGGCAAATATTGGTGTAAAGTTGGTCCATGGAGTAGGAGTATAGAGAGACTTTATGTTGCTTCCAGAACACAGTCAGGTATGAACTATCTGCTCTGATAGTGTACTGAGTATACTATAAGTTTCCTTAAGGAAATTTAATTTAATGATATCTAACTTCATACATGCATACTTGTACATCAGTTGCTCGATTCTCAGGGGCAGGTCCAGGATAAAATAATGCTGATGGATTTCCTAACAAGCACTGAAGGTGCAAGCTTGTAAGGGGGTCCACAAGCATGCTCCCCTGCATGCTTTTGGAATTTAACTGCCTTAAGTCCCCTATCCTGGGTTTCTGAGTCATTCTGACAGGATATTGGCCAGTTCCTTTCTCCTCAGATGAAGCCTTGCAAATCAGCGGATTAACAATCAAGGTCCATTTCAAGATTTTAAGGGGGAAAGTTTTTTGTCAAAAATATATTTGTCATGAAAAATCTGACCAATTTCTGTGAAACAGTTGAACTAGTGTGCATCTGTGCCAGACGATTCTCGTCAACTGCAGCTTCATATTTTTTGTTATGATATAGGCATAACAGAAGTTCTTTGTCAGCTTTGAATGTTGTTTATATTTACCTCATAATAATGAAACAAAGTACAAAAGTAACTTTGGAGAATCACAATTTTTCAGACAGTCAACCTTTCAAATGCTGTGGAAGTTTAGAGAAATCATAAGCAATAATTTAATCTGAGCCAGTCCTCTGATAATAAAGGGAAGTGTTAACAGTCTTCTTTATCACGGAAAAAGTGTCTGTTTACAAGGCAAATTACATTTTGTTTATATTATCACATTTCATTTTCCAGAGAATTACATTTTGACACAGTCTACTGTTCCGGAAAACATCACGACAATAAATGAAGGAGATAATGTAACTATCATCTGTAAAGTTAGTGGAAATGGCATCAAGAGAGTAGAGTGGTATAAAGACAAACTAGAACTCCCAAGTAGATACAACAATACTGGAGACTTCAACATCAGTATCGCGGACTTAACAGCAGTAACTGTGGCACAGGCTGGTGAATATGAATGCCGAACAAGTATTATTCCAACACCATGGGTTGGCTATCAAGCTGAGTCATTTGTGTTGCAAGTCATAGGTAAAGGGGATTTGCTGTTCAACTTAGTAGATTACACAAAGTGAATATTAGTAGCTGTTTACCCCAATATGACAAGACACTCTTAACTCTTATGAACTTCATCAGAAAGGGTTTGTGGACTCCAGGGCCCAGTTGTTCGAAAGTTGGATAACACTATCCACTGGATAAATCTCTATCCAGTGGACAACACAATCAGTTTCCCCAATACTTATCCACTGGATAGTGATTTATCTGGTGGATAGCGCTATCCAATGTTTGAACAGCCGGGACCAGATCAGATCTACATGTACATTTGGAATTACCAGATGTCTTGACCTCTAGCCTGGCACCAGAAGCCTGGAAATCCAGGTCATTCAACCTGACAACTGACATTAAACCAAAAATGTGAGAGAATTGTAGTATTATAGACTTTATTGGCTTTGGTGCACATGGCCGTTATCAGCGAGGCATTTTAAAAAAGATAAACCAAAAGACGATAACCTCCGCAAGCAAAAATAAATTAAAATACAGGTTAGCTTTTTAAGAGTTTATGATATTTTCCTGAAAAATTCAAGAGCCTCACTGTAAAACGTTGAGACTTGAGAGCTCTAATTTACTGCACCTTTTTGAAATAATTACTTTTTTTGTGACCAGTAAATGCAAGCAAATTTATAGACCTAAGACCTGATTAATTCACCTCTTTATGATACTGAATTCACCTCCTTATGACCTTAAAGGAAGACTGCAGGTTAACTTGTTCTAATTTATAATCCAAGGCAAGTTTGTTCTGTATGACCTAGTCTGTGCTCAAAATGTTTATCTTCTATTCCTTGATTTAAGTCTTGGTACATTTCACTTTACAGGTTTTCATTTTCTGGCAAGGAATAAAAAGTACCAGAGACTATTTGTGGGAGACAAAGTGACCATTAACTGTAAAAATAATGCACAGAAAGCAACTTCAACCTTATGGGTAAGAAAAGATATACGTCCATCTAAACAGGTAATGCCAAATGGTAGTACAATCACACGCAAAGGCAACAGTTTCCTTTTAAGCAGTCTAACACAAGATGATGCTGGCTCCTACGTGTGCAAGGCCACGTCTTCCCTTCTTGAGAAGACTATTGAAGAAGAGATCACAACTCTTTTGATCTTCACAGGTAAAATAAAAACTTTAATAATTTTTAGTGTGGCTTAATTAATTACCATTTTACATTCATGACCTGACCTTTAACTTTTTATCATAGTAGCTGCAGCGGAACCCATATTAATTTTAAACAAACAAACAAATGAAAAAAAAAGGAATATACAAGAAACTATTTTATGCTGTACTGTGTAAAGAATGGTGCCTTATAAGGAAAATAACAAATTTGGGAGGAGCTAGACCATACAAAGAAAAAGTTGAATTTTTTTGCATCGGCAGATGGTTTCTGTCGATTCACTGGATTTCCAAAAAAAATATATGTAGGCTATACACTTTGCCCTCCCTGCTCAATTCAATGTTCTTAGATACATGTACACAATAATCAATACAAGTACTTATGTCTCTTTAAATAGATGACCAAAGTAAACCCCTGGCACAAGTCTACCCTGTTGTTGGAGAGGTCTTCTCTGGACAAAATGTAAATATTTCCTGTCAAGCTCCAGGTAATGCTGTTTCAATGGAATGGTCAAGAAAAGGTCAAATTGTCTCCAGCATCCAGACACACAGAAAAATAAGAACAACAGCCAAAGGAAATTTCACCGAAAGTACCCTGGTGCTAACAAATGTATCAAAGGTCGACAATGGTACCTACACCTGTACTGTTACAACTTCAAAAAATGTGGGGTATTCTAACCAAGCAACTGCAACATTATTAGTTACAGGTATGCTGGCAAAAGCTTTTCAACCTTTGCATTTGAAACTTTTTGTTTCTGAAGAGTGGAAAAAGATAACCTCAAAGATATGTGTCAGCATTAAATAACCATGCCCTCAAGGGACTTCTTACACCTTAATTTGACGAGACAGTTGTGTACCATTGTAGCACATCTATCTATTATTGACACAATTATATTCTCCTGGACATTTGATTTTATTTTTTTCTTGCATAGCATTTTTGTTCTAATAATTAATCAAATTAACATACCATAATACATTGTCTTGATCAATAACGATTTCTTAAAACATAAGCAAGCGAATATTAACTTTAAAAGCCGATGTTTCGGTATCATCATGACACCATTCTCAAGGCAATTATTCATTTTGCAATTAATTGTTCATTTTGCCTTGAGAATGGTGTCATGATGATACCGAAACATCGGCTTTTAACATTAATATTCGCTTGCTTATAATACATTGTATCACATAACCTCTGATGTACTGTAAAGGCTAAAATCTCCAAGAACGCAAAAAATAATAATAGTAGTAAGAAAAACTCTAAAAGGAAAGGAAATAGCAAATAGGAAATAAAAAACAAATGGAAATACAAAACTATGGGAAAAAAAATTTTAAAGACTTAAACTAAATCTACTCATTATAATTATGTACTATTATATTTTCTGAAACAAAATCTGCTGCATTTTGAATTTGACTCCCCTTTTTTTCTTTCCAGAGTGTCATGAATCTTATAAGTTTGCTGACCCAAGTGACACCTCTGGTTACTTTGAGTGCAAACATGGAACTCCAGTGAAGAAATCTTGTCCTGGTAATCATGTGTGGAATCAAGAAGACAAGAAATGCAAACTTTGGCAGCTAGGTATGGTATACAGTATGGATATTGAATTACAACTCATGCCCGTTCAAAGTTTCACTTTACCCAATTAAGTATCAGTAAACACAGGGACTGTCGTCCCTTAACCTTAACTAGCAGTTAAGACCACCTTAAATTTTTGGACTTGTTAGTGGTTCTGGCAGAACCTTAGCTTACATGTAATCTTTAACTCTTTAGCCATCATGCATTGCACCTTTTTGTTGCAGTGAGAATTAAATTTACAGTTCCAAGTAATAAAAGGACTGTCACAATAGCTTGGTCCAATTTTATTTGCTGCTTACTTGGTTTGGATTAGTTAATGTTTTCGCAGAAATTGCTCCCAAAAACATATGCTTCGTAAGCCTTATAATAAGTTATAAACAATGGAGATAAACTTTGTCAAACTTTTAAAGGAGTAACGATCATCGAGCCAAGTAGCCAAATTTAGCCATGAGGAATTATTTCCCTTAGCTCAATTGGGTCTAAATTTTCTTTTCTGTTAAACATATTTTAAAGAAGGGGACTTGGACGACCATTTTGTCTTTTTATGATGTTCTATTTACAACATATAATTGCACATAATGAGATTTGTGCCAAACTTGAAATAAAGTTTAACTTTTGTATATTAATTAATTGATTTATTTTTAGAGTGGGTTCATGACAAACGTGGAAAATTGGTTGTTATTCTTGATACCAATACACCATTTGAGTTGGACTGCCAGCTTAATGATCCACGGGTAACAGTTCAACTCAAAAAGGGGAATCAAAATGTGGATCCTCAAAAGGACAGTAGTGTGACACAGATTGGACAGACGTTTTGGATAGATGTCTCATCACTGTCAATTGGAAACAACATGGAATTGAAATGCCAGGCATTAAGTGGAGGTCAAGATGTTTCAGAGAAGACAGTTACCCTTGAGAAAGCCAAAGGTTTGAACTGGATGTGATGATAACATATAAGTACATATTAATGCATTTTCAGCCCACTGAAGAAAATACCAAACAAAGGCAAAAAAATGGAGTAACTTTGATCACTATCTCCAGTCTCAAGCTCACTACCCACCTTTACTTCCTTCAAAATAGTTTTGCAATCATTGAGTTTTTTGCAAAAAGTTTTCTCACCAAACTTTAGCTTAAGTAATTATAGCTTGCAAGTAGAACATTATTATAGAGGAAAAAGGCAATAAAAAATTGAGAAAGAGAGGAAACAAAAGCGCATTTTTCCAGGGGCAAATTTGTTTTTATGTTAAGTGCATGATACTGATTATAAAAAAAGAATAGAAAATTTGAACGGAGGTTACAATAACCTCTTTCATTATAGTCACAATCAAGAACTCTTAATTAGTTTTCCAAATGTTTGTATTAATCTTAATATTTTATGTTCTCTGGTTTATTGCAGACTTTCAGAACAACGTTTTTGTGCAGATTTTGCCTGTTTGCTCTCCTGGGCCATTAGCAATTCACGATTCTATCAGTATAATTTGCCATGCATATCATTTTGGAGACATGGGATGGTACAAGATAGACAAGTCTTCAAATGTTCGCAAGGCAATAAGTGATTCAGACCCAAGACTGTCTTCTGATAGAAAACAGACTAGACATGGTCATTGGAATGTAAGCAAGACATTGACACTTGACAATGTCACAAAAAATGATGAAGGAGCATATGTTTGTTGGAAATCAAATGGTTATAATATCACGAAAAACATAACTGTTTACATTGATGTGGCAGGTAAGTCTTTTCATTTTCATAAAGAGGATCTTTCCTTTGGTAGTCAGAGCAGTACCCAATGAAAGTATCTACAAAGCCCTGAGCCTAAAGAAAACCAGGTTACCCAACCTTATCCCGCAGTACCCCGGTGTACATGTACCAATACTCGAGAAGCTAACAGGTTTTGACTTGCTCAGCCATTTTTTCGCTTTTGGCTTGGGGATAAACATAGTCATAGACATAGACACTTTATTTCTTTATGTGGTAAATATGCTTAGCCATACGGCTAAAAAGTGTAAAGAAAATGATTTTCTAGAGTGTTCAGCAACAATTTTTTCCAGCTGATTGTGATGCTGTCTAGACGCATAAAAGTAAGTTTAACCAACCATATCTTACAACGATACCAGAAATTGAAGGAATCAACAAGAAAATATTTGGATACGTCAGCTTATTTTTGTCTTCATGGTGAACAAAGGCGCGCCGCAGTGCTAGTACTGAGTTTTCAGGCTGCAACTAGACTGTCAGTCTTAAAAGCTCACCTTAAATTGTTGAGGCCGAATGAAGTGTGGCTTCAGTTGATTTCTAACTACTTTTCGTGGATACTTACTTGTCAGTAAAGTTTTCCACTATCAATTCAAGAAATTCCCTAGTTCTTTAGTCGGTTTAGTAGTTTGAAATATAATTAATGCCGATTTCAAGACATAAAACAAAAAAGCTGCCAACCTTCCTGCTCGTGAACTGCTCGTGTTGAGATTGAGCGGCAAACGAGCGTGCATGACAACGAGGGTGAATACGCGTGCGGAGACCGACGGGAAGGCAAGAAAACGCCTTTTTATCGGCTCTCTGTTTTTTTTACCCCGGCCATGTTCAAGAAAAGAGGTCTATTCGAGTGGTTCCCTGGCAATGGGAGCTGACTTTCAAGTTAACACAGTTCAAAGTTTATAAATAAACGTTTTTTAGGGGGTTCGAAGTTATAGAATTTACATTTTGGCCTCTTCCCCATCTTTATGTTCTAACATAAAATACCCTTATGGTGTATTTGATGTGATCCCACCTCTTAGATCCTCCCTTGACTGTCATTTACATATGTTTTTTTTTTTTGTCAGATCCCTCACCAGCCACGATAGAAAAGCTCGATTCACCACCACAGTCGTTTATTAAGGAGGGACAAAATGCCAGGTTTCACTGCACTGTAAGCGGCTCTCCTCGACCGAACGTAACATGGAGGAGAGGACAAGAAATTGTGGCCAGATACAAGGCAAATTGGAGAGACGATAGAGGATGTATGCGGAGTTATTCCATGGGTCCAGTGAGCGGGGGATGGGTCAGCTGGCTTAATGTCAACAACCTACAGTACCCGGCCGATGTGAAGTACACTTGTGTAGTTGAAAACAGTCTTGGAAAGGAGGAAAAAGTTGCATCTCTTAAAATCGCTGGTAAGCTCAAAAATCAATTCCATTTTCATATTATTTCATTTATCCTTTTCCATTCTATTTCAAATTTATAGTACCATTTAAATCACAGACAAACATTAGTGCTTGTGTCATAATGTTGTGCTCCTTACAATTATGTATTATAAGAAACTACTGTAGTTGGCTCAGTAATAACTATTGATTTTAGATAAAACTGCAGAGGAAAAGTGAAAATTGCTCAATTAATAAAAAAAAGATGTTTAATTCGTAGTATTGAGCAAATTACTAATGTGAAAGTGCCTTTTGTAACCTTTTTCTAGTTGGTTTATCTCTGACTGATTACAGAATATTATTCCAAGAAAAATCTCCCAATAACACTGGGGCTTAATCTTAATCACGGTTTTGGCACACAGACATTGAAGACCCCAAAGATTCCCAAGTTAAAACCGAAGTCACAAAACTATTTGTAAAGGCCTTCCAAGTTGTTAGTATTGTTCGTGGGAGTTGTAGATAAGGCCTGCCTCCATGCTTGTTGTAACTATTCATAACATTTTAGCCTTTCATGCTTACTACCACTATTATTTATACTGCTGTTATAAATATTACACTTTTAAAATGATAGAGGCCATACAGTTTAATAACCCGTATAGCGGGAAATTTTTTTCCCAACAGCGCGCGCTCTCATTGGTTACTTCGAGGTCACATGACATCTAACGATGCTGTTTCCCGCAAAATCTCTGAGCGGGCAACATTGCAAAATCTATGACGTTAGAGGGTAACAGTGCACTGTTACCCGCGAATGTTGACCGACGACCACCGTTACAGCGAGGTTTCATGAATTTCCAACTATATAACAAATTACTTAAAGACCGGTTCCTCGGGAAACAGTTTATTTTGTTTCCCGTGAATCTCAATGTTTCCCGAGGCGGACTCGGAACTAGTCATCAAACGTTTATTTCTGCTATTTTCAGTCGCACCTGTTTTACAACGGAACACAAATAATGGGCCCGAGAAGGTTTATGGCGTTCAAGACAGAGAGGAAGAGATCAAGTGTATAACAGAGCGCAGCAATCCTCCAGCGACTTTCAAGTGGCGGTATCAACCTTTAAATTGTAGTTTTTCTTCGTCAAGCTGCCCAAAACCTACCAATAACTGGATCAAGCTAACACAATTTGGAGAAATAAAAAATCGATCTGATAACATGAGTGTCCTAATATTGCCAGGATACCTAAAAAATATGTATTTTAAGTGCATTGCTGAGAACCCAGTCACAGGAGCAAAGGATTCCAAGCAATACCAGTTTAGGCGACGAACTGGTAAGTATACAGTTCCTTGCACATGCAGTAGAAATATTTTTTTCACCAACCACGTTTCCATAGGGCGTCAGCTACAAAAGGACGTCCGGCGTTTTGCTCGCGTGATTTTGGTTGCCTACTATTTAGCTCTCGAGTATAGCCTATAGTTTACTGTATTGTAAACATTTATTTAGAGGTGTTAATTATCCTTTGTTTTAATAGCCAGTAAGCATTTAAGTTGGCATATTAATTTTAATTTGTGCCTCTATAAGTTTTCTTCCCTTCCCCTCCCGCCCCCTCCCCTCCCCTTCTCTTTGCTGATGAGTTGGCTGTAGTATTCACCAATGACCATTTTGGCCTTGCTGGAAGAAAAAATGGTAGACCAAAGATTTTTAAAAGAAGCGATTGATAGATTCCAAGAGTAGAAGTATTGACCCTCACATCTACATCTCAATTCACCAAATATTAGAGGAGCTACCCTGTTTGTTGCGCCGTTCAAATGAGCCACAAAAAATGAAGGAAAAAGAGAAAACACTGTCAAAAGAAACTACGACTGCTGCCGCCCGGTTAGCCCAACTGGTTAAGCGCCGGTCTCCCAAGCGGAATGTCGCGCTGGGATCAAATCCCGGCCGGACCAACACTCAGGGTCTTAAAATAACTGAGGAGAATGTGCTGCCTTAAGTTAGACATTCTAGTCTTCTCGGCTAAGGAAGAAAAACACTAGGCCCCGTCTCACAGCTCTATCACTGTTCTGATTCTTGTGGGACGTAAAAGAACTCGCACTGCTGTTTGTAAAGAGTAGGGGGCGTAGACCCTGGTGGTGTGGTACAACCTTTCATGCGCTGGGTGGATAATGAAGGGGTTGATATCAATTAGAAAGCAAGTCCTGTTTCATCCCCTGTCACCGTGTTGAGTCACCGTGGCGAATTCAATAAAGCAAAGGACTCTTCTATGAAAGGGGTCCGCATAATAGTTTTAACTTAGTTTTTCTTGTGAAATAGGGGAAGAAGTTTCTTCCATTCTTGAAGTGAAACCGGAACCCGTTATGATCAAAAGTGAAGGATCCAACATCATCCTACGATGTGAAGCAAGCATTGGTTATTTTAACGAGTCGCCATCATGGAACTTCAAGGGCAAAACCTTCGACACCAACAGTGATAACAGAAAGTATGTAAACAGATTTAAAGACCAGAATTGGATCACTGAACTAATTATTCGCGACGCGAAGCCTTCAGATAGAGGTCTCTACGTCTGCTCTGCTAGGAAGCTTGAAGATGGTAAAGAATTGCAAAAAGCCATTGAATTAACCGTGATTGGTGAGTAATATGAAATATGCTCCATTCCCTTTTTTCACGCATGCCATTATGCTTGTCGCTTTTATTGTATTGGAAGTCGGGGTGTAAACGGGTTTGTTTTCCAACTGCTGCGCAACCTTTTAATATGGGAAAAAAACGACTTTTGCTGCGCTCCCGGTTGTTCAAACACGAGAAAAACTAGAGGAGATTTATAATGGTAATTGAACTGAGTGGATTGCAATTTGGTCTGAAATCATTCGCGTGATATCAAAATCGGACGAGAGCGCAGCGCAAATTCGGTTTGAAATCACAAGTATGGTTTTAGACCAAAATTGCACGACGCGAAATTCAATTGTAAATTCAAACAGTAAACTGTTCCTTACGGCAGGAAGAGTGTGAGAAAAAAAAAAAAGAAAGAAAGCGAAAATAAAATGGTAAATTATATTTACACTATTCACGGTTGCTACGGATTAGTTCACCTAAAGGGTACAAGAATTAAGGACGTCGTTCTTCACAAGGGTTTTTTTTTTTTTTTCACGGAAAAAAGTTGCCTCTGAGCAATAACTCGTGACGCGCGATTTTATTCACAGGCTAGATCTGCGTAGCATAGTGACACTGCCTGACGTTATATATTTCTGACCTGTTATAGCGTTTTCTAAACCAAACGTAAACATCTCCGCGAACCTCACCAGACGTAAAGGCCAGGCTGCTGAGTTGAGCTGTAATGTTACCGGAAATCCCAAACCAGAGATATCTTGGTTCAGGAATGGCGAATATATCGAAACCGAAAATACAATTGGTCATGTAGAGGACTGCATGCAGCGCAAAAGCGGTTTCTACAAAATCAAGGACGAAGAAGAGGAAAAGTACGGAGTGTTGGAGTCACGACTAGTGGTGTGTTCCGCGGCCCATTTAAGCCACACTGGTAGTTATACCTGTGAAGCGAGCAACAGCATGGGCAATGACAAGGCTACAGCGTATGTAAATATTTTAGGTACGTATCATTGGGTTTAAGGTGATGTTAAAAGAGACAATTTGTAATGACAATTTTTAGCGCAACTATTCGAAACAATGTTGTTATTCTGTTTTGCGAATCGTCGGGGAGATCCGCAACTATCTTTTTCAGCGCATCGTTGCATGCCCTAAAAATCGTCGTTGCATATCAGTGTCAGGAACGTGATGTAACAAGGGCAGATTTTCAACAACGATTTTTAGCGCAACACGGCGTTATATTGCTTCAGATTGTTACAACATTTTTTCAAAATTTTTGCCCTTAAATTCTTCGTTGCAAGTCGTCACCTGTCACGTTGCCTTTAGATCTAATGAGGAGGCACACTCTGAGCAAAGAAAAATAAGGTTTAACTAATAATAAAGCTTGTTAACAACCCAGTGTCAGTTACGACCTACTTTAGACTTTAGACAAAAGTCATAGGCCTTTTTTTCGTGTTTCTATCCAAAATTGCATTCAGACCCACCTAACGGAAAATGCAAAGACCGTTATGTAAAACTTAACCCATAGTCCACTTAGATGCATATGAGCTTAAGTTGGGTGTGTTTTTGTTCCAGAAAAACCCTCTGTAACGGTGATTCGTCTATTGGAAGTTGAGAGCGGCATAACAGAACTTCGTTGTACTGCAACTGGTAATCCTACTCCGTTAATCTACTGGGTAAAGCAAGAAAGTGAAGGCTCCTCCTTTGTTCCAGTTCAGGGGAAGGGTGGTCACGGGATGAAAAATGTAAGCGGTATTAGAGTAAAGAAAGGGTCAGAAGATTTATACCGTTGTGTGGCCAACAACAGTGAAGGAATCGTTTACTCAGAAGAGACGGGCGGTAAGTTGCTTTAACAATCTCGTGCATTCTTTGAATTCCCCCTTGTAGCTGCATATGTCTTGCAAGATGCGCAAGGAATTAACACTCAAGAGCACCCAAGTAGAGTAAATCACATAGTCCGACGTAACAGCAACGCCAGATGTGAATTTACAACTAGACACATAACTTCTTGAACTCAGGCTTCCCTTGTTCAATTTTCTTGCTATAAAAAATACGAAAAAAAGCTTTGTGGTTCAAAATGAGAAACCAATTTTGTGTGCTTCTTGAGAATACGGATGGATTAAGAATAGCTACCATAAACACTCATTGCTTGCTTGCTTCCTTTGCCGGAGAGCGAGGGATGGCGCAGTGGTGACAGCACTCGCCTTCCACCAATGTGGCCCTCCTTCGAACCCCGGGATTGAGTTTGTTGTTGGTTCTCTCCCTTTATCTCCCTTGCTCCTGGAGGTTTTTCGCCAGGTACTCCGGTTTTCCCCTCTCCTTGAGAACCAACACTTCCACCCTATTTCCAATTCGATCTGGAACGCACAGACACGTTTCAACGCGTTCTTAAGAACTCCTAAGTGCCCTGTGGGTAAACAAATTACAATAACAAAACAATTTACAAAGTTTACAATTTAGACGCAGGACAGTCAAGGAAAGACTAGAGAAAAACTGTTTTTAAAAAGTCTTTTCTTTTGCTTTGTTTTTAGGCCCGGACGTTGATTATGTGAAACGACAAAATGACGGCGGGATCTCGAAGGAGTCTACGATCGTGATGATAACGTGCGTTGGCTTCGTGGTCATTGTTTTCTTTCTTCTTTGCTTGATTCTGTATAAAAGAAAAAAGAGGTATGGCGGATTTTACCTCCTAACACTTCCACCCTCGCCAGATTACATCATGAAATTGGATCCTGAGAGGTCCCTTTTGGAACAAACAAACAAACTGCCTTACGATGCACAATGGGAATTCCCCAGGGAACGTGTCCATATAGGTAGGTTTAGCGTGCTAAGCTCAGTTTGGGCATATGTTATACAGAGTACAAAATATTTATCATTATAAATTGTGTTTAGCCTAGATAGACTTGACCTAAATGCATCCCCAAGTATTTATGTTCCCGTGCAGTGTAACAAAGCCTTATTCACAGGTACATGTGGCACACTTTTTGCAACTGTGGTGTGGTAATGTATAATAATACTTCCTTCTCAGTCACACGCCGTTTATAAACAAACTTGACAAGTTTACTATTGATATGTCAGAGACAAGAAAAGATAAAGCACCATTAAGTCGAGAAATTTTACAGATGTCAGTATGATAAGGACACAAACCTGCCCCCACTTTTGCAGATGTCTGTAAAATTCCGTGCGTTTACGGAACCAAAGATCTTCGCTAACTAGTCCATGTCAAAACTTTCAAATACATCGATGTTCTATTCATGCTCTTTTTAACAATTTCTTTACAGCCAAACCATTAGGATCTGGAGCGTTTGGGCAGGTTTTCCTGGCGCAGGCAACAGGAATCGTTGCGTTTGATCCTCGCGGGAGCACAAAGCGAAAACCTGGAAGGAGACGATCAAGGTTTGGCTCTACCAGCCGGCCTTATTACAACGACAAACGGGTGACAGCAGTTGCAGTTAAAAGTCTTAAAGGTTTGTCTTTTTGCTCTTTTTAGTTGGTTTCTTACGTTGTCATTGTCAGTGAAAACAACTGTGGCTTCTCTTATGTCACTAGGCAGCCTAGTCCCAAGGCGTTCTCTCTTGACCCGTTGTCCGCGCGAAGTCTGGTCTCTCTCGGTGACGTCACAGCTCACGGTAGTGTCCAGGATTGATCGAGCCGAGACGGCCTAGGGACTAGGCTGCCCACTAAGGACTTTAAGATCCTACGACGTGACGGCAACGAGAACGCGGTGAAAAAACATAAGGTTTAGTAGGCAAGCAACATTTTTGCACGTGCATCAAGTTTTTTTGTACATTTCTTCGCTGTTTTTGCACGACAGCGACGTGACATTGCCTACTTTTACGTTAAGGAGGGCTAAAACAAGCGACGACGAAATCCTATTTATCTTTCTGAACTTGAATATGGGTAATTTTTTTTATTATGTTATTCAGTTGTATTTTGGGGGGGGGTCTTATTAATCACTGTGGTCTGTGTTCAAAAGAAACCTCTGTGTTTGCATGGTTCCATTTGATTTCAATATTTTACACAATGAAATTTTTTTCCCTGAGCACTGACCTTCAAGTTTCTGTTTTTCTTATTATCTACAGATAATGCAACCGAAGCAGAGTATAGAGATTTATTATCAGAACTGAAGATTCTAATTCATATTGGCGAACACAAAAACATCGTTAACTTGCTAGGGGCGTGTACAAAAGGTTGGTGAATGTTTTTTTTGTTACCGTTAGAAGGCAGTTAGGAAAATTTTAAAAGAAATCTACCCAGTTTATATTTTGTTAGATGGGATTGTACGCTCAAAACATCACATCATGTTCGTGACCATAGTAGTCTTGTTTATTAATCTCGAATAATAATAATAATAATGATAATAAAAATAATAATAATAATAATAATAATAATAACAATAATAATGGTAATGATAATGATAATAATAATCATTTTTTTCACTCAGGTATGGAGCGTGAACTCTGGGTTATCATTGAGTACTGTCCCCATGGCAACCTGCTTGACTTCCTGCGCAAACGCCGTGACATTTTTGAACCTGTATGGACCACGCCCACCGAGCATGCCGACGTCACGTTCAGCACAATTGACCTGTACATTTGCTCGCTGCAAGTCGCCAGAGCCATGGAGTTCTTAGCTTCAAGAAGGGTACGTCTGTAGTTGGGTTACCTGTGCGACTTATAAGCCTCTATTTTGATAATAATGTTGCTCAGTCTCAAGTACACGTTTATCTCGCAAATTAACATGTGTGTGTGTATTATTTTTCAGTGTGTCCATCGTGACCTTGCTGCCAGGAATGTGTTAGTCGGCGAGAATTACGTTCTCAAAGTGGCCGACTTTGGTTTGGCGAGAGACATTTACAAAGAGGAACACTACGTTAAGACAACAGCGGTAGGATATGCATCGTCACTGAGTTCTTTTTGAAATTTTGAAATAACTTTCCAAATAATCTAAGCGCCTTGCATTATTTGTTAAATGTTTTCTTCTTTCCGTTATACAGGGTTTGCTCCCGGTCAAGTGGATGGCTATTGAGGCGTTGGTTGATCGCATCTATACTCATAAGAGTGATGTGTAAGTATAAAATATCATTTGTTAGTCAAATCTAAGTATAAAATTAAATGTATATATAATGTAAAAGATGCCCTCTGGATTACATTAGACGCATATGAAATACCAAAATATCGTCAGGTAGTCGTATAGTTAAAATAACAATAAGAAAATTTTGTACGTTTGTGCCTGTTTCCTACGCGGTTTTTTTGGGCAGTCTAGTTCCAACCTACTGTGATTAACATGGTTTGTCTCTCTTCTTCAGGTGGTCATTTGGGGTTCTGTTATGGGAGCTTTTTACTTTAGGTAAGTTCGGTTCTTACCTATTTTTCTCAGGTATCTAGAAAAAGGAGTAATATTCATTGCGAAAGAAATCAAAAGCGAGTAAAGCAAGTGCGCCTTACTTGAGAGCTAAGAATACTGAAGCTGTTCTATCTAATGAAATCTAATTTACCCTCGCAATGCAGCACACATAGAACTCCGTCGAACAAAGGTCATTGTAAAAAATCAAATCGTAATCTATCGAAATAGATGAGCAACGCATGTTGTCATTTCTTCAGCTTTCTGAAGGGTGAAATAAATCACAGCTCCACAGCTAATGTTGTTCTTAAACATTTTCTTTTGCAAAGGTGGAAGCCCGTACCCAGGTCTCCCGGCCAATGAAGTGTATCAGTATCTGATGGAGGGGCAGCGCATGGAAAATCCTTTGAATTGCCCGGATGAAATGTAAGTGGGTCCATAATCGATATCGGTGTTTTAAATAACACGTCGCCATCATTTAAGATTTTTAGTCACAGGGCAACAATGCTCCCATGTTGTGAGTATTATCATCGTTCAGTAGAGATCAAAAGCCAAGTTATGTGAATCAAAAAAGGCATAAAAAAGTCTAAGCAACATCGATATGTGAGTGGATCCATGCTCGATATAGGCATCACTAATACGTCACCCGGCATCATTTAAGATTTTCAGTCAATGGCGACAATGCTCCCATAGTGACGGCATTATCGTTAAGTACATACAACGCCAAGCCTTGCGAACAGCAAAAGGCATCTGTAAGTTTAAGCGACCAACTTTGATACCGATAACGTAGCCTGCGTGGTAGGCTCAAAAAGTGGAGTGGGGGCGCAGGGGAGAGAAAAAGACAAAAGACCCTCCCTATCCCCCTCCCTTTTCCCCTCTCCCCTCTCCCCTTGGCGCCTGCCACGTAGGTTACCGGTAGCATCGGTAGCGTCTGCCCAAACTGTGGCTGTTTGTTCATTTCCTTCAGCCTGACTTATGATCCTATTATCTCTTGCACAGGTATGAAATCATGCGGAATTGCTGGGATCACAGCCCAGACGAGAGACCTTCATTCACAGACCTTGTTGCTAGGATTGACAAACTCTTGGAAGACAGAACATCCGAGGTACGTAATGTTAAGTTTGATTTCTCAGAATCTCAAAAAAGGCAGTGAGTAGTTGTGAGACAACGCTGACAAGTTAGTTCTAAACTCACCTTGAACATATTATTTTTTTCGTAGTCTGGGGAAGGATACCTTGACCTCGAACACGCAGAAGATGAACCAAACTTGGACGAGCCGACATTTGAAGACGAATATCTTGATCCGGAGCAGACACTTCTCCCATCCCCGGGTAGCCCCACTTCTGAGGAACGAATGAACTACCCCCTGCCTCCCCTCCCTTCTGAAGAAATCGAGATGGGGACATTTGAGGAGCCCATAAAAGACGAGGAAAAGAAGAAGTTTGTTCTTTTGGATCCACCAAGGGAAAAACGAATAGCCAGAATGGACAGCGAGTTGGAGAAAGTACGAAAAGACACGCTGGAACGAGAAAAACCAAAAGACAGTGTTGGACATTATAACGAAGACGAATTTATCAGTGAAAAAGAACAGCTTCGATCCGACGATGACGACAAAGATATCTGCGAGAGAAATTCGGGTGTTTTTGAGTTTTCGCCAGATTATGAGGCCAGACACTCGCATAGTTTAGACGTCCCCCCTCAGGAAAACGCTTATTACGGTGAACAACGGCCTCCCTCACAAGGCGAGGTTACCTTTAAAGCGGGAAATGGATTTCGAGGAAGGCAACCCTCGAACAGATATGTGAATTCTTAATACTGCAGAGACAACAAAAAATATTTAACAACGCTTAGCATTATCTTGTTATTGATCCAAATACTGAAGACGGATTGTCTTACTTTCAGCCAGGAAAAATATAAAGTACAGAAAAAAAAAACCCGTCAAAAGGCATGTCTGGTTGTATTGACGAGGGTTTTCTATCAAAAAAAACGACTTAGAGTTCTTGCGTTTAGCCCGAAGTAATAACGAAGTTTTCATGTTAAAAACTGGGATAATTGTAAGGCGGGCTGCCATTGTTTAAAATTTATAGTAAGTTGCAACTGCAGCCTCAAAGACAAAAATGGTTAGATAATGCTGCAAAAAAATTATATGATGCAGTTCTGTTATATTTCACAAGGCTTTTCTTTACGAAAGATTTCATTTGTTCCTTTTAAAGTGAGGCTAAGGTTAAGGCTATTACACTTCTCCCTTTGTTCTTTAGAAACAAGTAGGAATGAGTGGGAGAGAAGGGTGGGGAAAACGGCTTGTAAACAAGCCCGTCCCCGCATTTTATACTCGCACTATCTCCAGGAGATGTAGTCTACTGTATGTTGGGCCGTCAGCGTTTATTGTAAATATGATTTGGATAAAGCAACCTAATCAATTATATAGATTATTTTATTGTAATGAGTTCTAACAGAACGTATAAGTCGAATGAAAACTTAGTTATGGTAGTTCTTTTGAATTAAAAGCTGTACCCTAGAAATGCCTTTAAATTTTTTTCACAAGGCTGAATTGTAGCCAATAACATAAAACAGCAATAATGTTATTGTGTCATTAGTAAAAGCTTTGAATTTGTCGTTTCATTTAATTGAAAGGAACAGATGTTAGCATACCAAAGCCTCGATGCAAGGTTTAGATAGTACAGGACAACATGTGTAAGCAGTGACGGACTGTTTCAGTTCTTAAGCAGGTGGCTGTCTTCTCGCCCAGTACCTGAGAAAAGAGAGAAGGCCCGTCTCGCCCCCCCTTCCCCCCCGGGCTCTAAAATACTTTTCCTTGACCCTGCGGGCCTTACCCTAGATCCGCCAAAGGACATACATATTTTCCCCTGTTAAACAGTCAAATTGCCTCGAAGTGAGGATTATGCCCGAAAGCTGATATGTTTATAATAGTCACTGATCTTCCTGGCATTATTTTCATTTATTTGCCCCGTTGGTCCTTAAGCTTAGTTTAGAGTGGTTACCCTGTTGAAAGCTCTGGAAGGTAGCTGGTAGTACCAGTGATATAATTTACCAGTTCTATTCAACAGGTATTAGACCGTTGTTTTTGGTTTATACTTAAACTGATTACAGCTTGCAGCAGCCCTTTCCCTCTTGCTTTCCCCTTGATTTGGGGTTGGCGGGGTTTGGTTACCTGCCCCTAATACATTTAATGAAATTTTCAAATGTTATCTAATAATCTAAATTGAACGAATTCTATGGTATATTAAGATGAGTTATTTAATGGGAAAAATAAATGGCATGAAACTGCTGTTCTGCTTCTTTATTTTCTCGGCTGGTTTTCTTCTAATGCTTTTAATTGATACAGGTTTGGGTGCAACTATGAGCAGAAGGAACAGAGAAACATGAGTAGGAACGCGCGCGTAACGAACTCCTCAGAACTTCTGCGTGGGAGGAAATGGGTAGACGGGCTGAACACTTTTCAAAATATTGCACATGCGCAGTGTACGTGACGCGTCTCTTTTAAAAATGGGGGGTTTCTCAGCCTTTCATCAGTGGAATGCTTTGGTTGGGCTTCCGCTAATAAAAGGCCACCGAGAAGAGAGAAACGTGAATTTTCCCAAATAAATCTGTAATCGTTGAAAATACCAGCTCGCCTGTGTCAACAGTGAAGGATCCAGGGGAGGGCCGGGACCCAGGAGGCCCGCCTCCCTTATTTTTCCTTATTTTTAAACCAAACTGAGGCCCGAAGGGCCGGAAAATTTTTTTGAGACCGCCCCCTACCCTTATCGGCTCCCGCCCCAGTTTCGCGCGCGTGCACTGCTCTTACTAAATCTGAAGAAAAAGAGAGACTACTCGCAGTCTATCATTCTTAGGAAAAGAATTATACGGCAGTTTCAAATTTTTCCTCTGTTATCAAGCATGGGTGTTGTGGGTGCGCCAGGTAATACCACAAAATATCCCGCCTACTCAAATGATATCCGGCACGCATTGGAGGTATTTTGTGAAATAAAAGACAGCTCTCTTCTTCTAGTGTAGCGAAACAATGATAAAACAAAGCTGATTTCATCATTGTGTTAATCGATAAAATGTTTTGTTTAGAAATTATCTAAGTACCGTTGACGCTCTTGTCTGTGTTATTTTCCACTTTTCAAGTCTGTTTGTCGTGACGGTGTCGTTATTCGATAGTCAGTTCTTATCTTTTTTCACTTATCACAGCGCAAAACGTCACATATCTCATTCCAGTCTTGTTAGGATTACACTCGTGGAATGTCCGTTTGTTGGAGAGGCTTATGGATGACTGAACTGAACTGAACGTCTTAAAGTTTGTTGTAAATACAGAACGGTGCTGATACCGTAACCAGTTCGTAGGAAAGCAGCGTGAAACTGAAAATGGCGACTCCACCACATCGCTTGAATCTAACTTCTGGCAAAACACTCAGCTCATTGACGAGTTTTCTTTGTGTCCATTTACAGCTGCTGTTGTTGGGAATTCTAAACACTTATGTTCAAGGTAAAAACTGTTCTTTTCTCTGCTTTCTCTCTTCAATCTCTTGCTGAACTATGTTCTTCTTCTCTTATTAATACCATAAAATGAATTAAAAACAGAATATCGAATACGCATGTGGGTCGTACTATGTGAACAGAGAACTTGATTCCTGCTGTGTATACGTTTTATGGAATTGCACGCATCACATCCGATGTAGCAGAAGCCGTTCGACAATTTTCAGTTTTTCCGTGAAAAATGAAAAGTTTTGTTTCTGGATAATTTCATGTTTGTGTGTGCCTGATGTCAACAGCGTCTTCAAACAAACCAGAGGGTCTCCTTTCCTCAGGCATCTTAAAAACTCTGCCAAAAATTGGAAATATGATCCAAATTTGAAAACCCTTAGTATTCTGAATTAATCATTGCAGACTTATTCAATCTTATATTATCGAGTATTTAGTATATTTTTTATATTATTCTCAAATATGTTTGTGCTTTGAAAACTTTATAAAGAAAACATTTTTTGGTAAATAATATGTTTACTCACTGGTTTAATCGGCCTTTGGAAAGAGGCAGTATTAGCCAAGTTAATCAGCCGTCCTAAAATTAGTGCATAATGTAGTTACAATCATCAACAAGTAGTTTATTTCTGGAACTGTTTCTCCTGTTTCTTTCTCTCCGTTTCTTTTTTCTCTCTCTATCGTTTCTTTCCGTGAACAAAGAATTACTTAACTAGTCGAGGCTCCGGTATAATGGCGAGTAAAAGGTAACGTAACGTGGTTGCGGTGTAAATACAGTTGTAGTAATATCAAGTTGTCTAGGATATGAAAGCCTTTAATCAGGAGACGAGATTAGCGAACACAAAGGGCAGAACATGTTAAATTACGTGCAAATGACTAATGATCCCACAGTCATTTAAGCAGCTCTATCTGTACCCCAGTTTTTCGTTGTGTACTTGAACACCCAAAAAGACTGAAACTTCAGTTGTCAAATTAACATTTACAACGTAGTTTGTTTGGGTTTGAGGTGAAATGTCTCATTGGAGGATTAAGGGCTTAAAGACCCCTATTGTTGGATGACAATAATTATCGAGATCGTATTTTGTCAGCTGGATCAAACAATTTTTGGCGATTACTCTAAAACGTCTTATCGTTTCTCTTTTCCTGAATTTTTTTCACTTTGTAGCCTCATTGGTGAGTTGAAACTTAAGACGAAGTTTTAGATAAATCCTCTTTTATTTCCGGCTTTGTTCCAGAAACCAAAAGGCAAAGCTCACTTTAAAAGGAGTAAATTTACTTTAAATTTACATCTACCTATCTAATTGTATACGGATTCTCTGTAAAAAAGACTGTGCATCTGTTAAGGTCGCAGTTATCAGCGACAAAACTGGTGTGTCAAACTTTCTTCCATCCCTTTTCTTTCCCTTATCCAGTACTGAGGAAGGCCTGAGACTCAGGTTACAAACTTTTTTTGCAAATTTTCTTTAATGTACTATAATGAATGGATGGGTTTCCTCCTCAAAAAATAAACAACATAATAGGAAATTATGCTATCAATAATATAATATTTTGCCTTTTAAGGAAGGTTTCGTAAAGAATTCACCTTTTCAGTCATTATTTCAGCACTTAATGTCACTTATTTCGACCTCTTCCCTGTTCATGCTATGCCATTCCCACGATTCCACTGGACAGACATGAGGATCCCTTGTCTTTCTTTTCATGTTTTGGTCATGAAGCTCGGGAAACTTCGTCAAGAAGCAGCGTGATCATCTTTTCCTTTTTCTTGCAGATTGTTCGGGGGATGTTTGGGGGGATGATTAACAAAAACCTTTTCAATATACGCGAGCGTATCAGCTGCCATTCAAGCCTCCGCAATCACGTGGTATGATCTTGGACTACACCAGGAGAGGCCATAGCTGGACTTTACGTTCCGCCTTTGCAAACTTACCTTCTGCTCGGTTCTTTTCATTCCAATCCTTAGACCCTGAAGTGCGCGGACCATTCAAACAAAACCTCTCCAGCAAAACTACTGCATCAAAAATTTTGATATGCTTTTGATATACCACTACAAAAACTATTCTTTTGCAGATGGCACTGACATGACTTATTTGTGGACAATAACGTTTTTTAAACTAATTCCAGGTTCCTCCATTGGGTTTATCAAAACTTCCGCCTCTTCTCGGACAGTTCCTGAAGGATCGTCTGTGAGCCTCAGCTGTGAGCTTAGTAATTCCTCGATTCCTGTTAGATTATGGATGATGATGTCTGGAGCAATGTACACTCCAAGAAAAAACGTGGTCAACTATGGACAAGTTTTTATTCTTCATCGCGTTACAAGGAAAATGGCTGGGACCTATCTTTGCAGGGTTACACGACCTCGATTAAACAAGAATTTAGGTTTCATTTGGGTCACAGAACGCCAAAGAGGTAGTGCAAATCGATTCTAGCTTTGAGTTTACTGTCATGAACTATTCTAACTGCTTAACAAGCGGAAGAGAATAAGCAAAATTGGCTTGTTTGATTTCCGTGGTATTCACGTGAACCTCTATTCAGCACGTGGGGGTGGGGGTGGTGCTCTCCTCATAAAGGTTTTTTGAGGAAGCTCCGTCCTTGTCTTGTACCCTAAGCCGGAAAACGTTGCCAAGCGTAAATCAACAGATAGATTCTTAGACTGCCGTTGATTTGAACTGGTATGTATGATTGCTATTACAATCTCTACACTCCTTGTGTTGCGGGAAAGCTCCGCCCCTCGTGCCCCAAGAAAACGTTGCCAACCGTAACTTAACAGTGGCTTTGATTGCCCTTGGAGTGAACTGGTATGCATGACCATGCAATACTGCAATCTCTACACTTCTTTTTGATCGAATCAATTCCTTTTAGGAGCCCCAATTCTAAAGGTAGATCAAAGACTGAAAACGATATTTGTCAATGGAGATGCGAACCTAACTTGCACAGCCTCCGGACCAAGTATCCAATCAGTGCAATGGTACAAATGGGCGCAAAAACTCTCCATGCTCCAGCAAGTGGTCACGAAAAAGGAATTCAACAATGGAGATGTATGGAACAACACTCTTGTGCTTAGGAATGTGCAGATGAACCAGGCGGGGTGGTATGAATGCCGCATATATCAACGCTCGGGGGATGAATACTTTTACTCCATCCATGAACATTTAAACGTGCTAGGTAAGAGATCAGAAGTGAGAAGTTAGATCTTACAGAATCAAAAGAATAGTCTAAGCACGTTACATTTTCAAACAATTTTTCGATTGCCTGATTTCCCTTGAATCCACAGCGCAATCCATAAAGAGGGCTGGTCTTCTCGATAGGTCATCAATTTCGTAGTTCTTCGCACTATCTTTGTTTCACACAACCTAACCTCATCTACTATTGCTAGAAAATCTTAAGGCCTAAAAATAAAAATTTAACCTGGTGACTTAACGCAAGCACTATCTTAGCTCTGAAGGACAGCCTTTGACCATTTATCTTACATATTACCAAATGCGTCTTTCACGTTCTCATGCGAGGGAGTTGTTTCTATTTAAAACGTTTTCCAGAGTAATATCTTTAAAGCAAGATGGAATGAACATTTTATAAAAGCTATTTGTTACTTATTTTCTGTCAATTTTTCCCAGGGAAGAATAAATGCCCAGAACCTGACGGTGTCTTTGCAGTTCCGAAAAGAGAAACGGCATATCTCAATTGCTCTAATAATGTTGCTACGTTGATGAACTGCCCCAGGGGAGAGGAGTGGACAGATGACAAGAAATCTTGCGGTACAGGATAACTTTTAAGTCAGAGTTATTTTTATCATTCTCTGACTGTTAAGTACTTATCTCTCTGAACGTTTAAAGACTTGTCAGACTACATTTCGTTTGTTACCAGTTTGGAGAATATCCTGCCTTGAACAAATTCAATTTCTTAACCAGATCTCCGATAGCCAGGCGGAAAAGTAATCGAGTTATTCAGTTTAAATTAGAAAGAGAAACAGATCTGGCTGTAAGGTTTTAACAAGACAACACATCATCAGATGGTAACACGGTCATGCGTCTGTTAATTCTCTGAGAAATGTGTGGATAAATATTCTCTATTTTTCGGAATACATTTCCTTTTTCTAAGAAGCCCCGAAGAATAATCAGTTGAGTGCTAATATTGCACTCACTTCAGTCTTGAAACAGATAAATTAAAGAGGAACACGTTTGCCTCCCTAGCTTCGGAGCGGACACCTCTGTGATGTTTGGCACCGGTTTGGTCGTGTCCACTGTTTCCTTTTCAGGAAAAGTTGGCTATATACCTTTAGGTTTCTAAGGCACATGAAAGATATATTTTTATGTGGTTGAACTGATACCGTTGCTTTGGGGTCAGTCCTGGCTGGGACCTTAGGTATCTCCGTTTGCCCCTGAAGGCTTAATGGATTTATTTTATTTTATTGTCTTTCAATTTTCTATTTTCAGTGAAAGTAATACGATGGAAATCAAATGACAGATTGAAGGAGGTGACCAAAGCAGTAGGAGAATCTGTTACAATTGATTGTCAGTTGAACGATCCTGGAGTAAGAGTCAAGTTGAAACAGAAAATTCGTTCAGGAGTGTTCCGTGTACGACACACTGACGACTGCAGGGTCAGCAGGGTGGGGCAGAAATTTGTTATCCACTCGGTCAATTTTAATGACTTTGGAATCTACGTTTGCGAGGCGCCTCATGTTATGACTAAAAAAGAAGAAGCTTACTTGAAAATTAATCCAGGTGAGTAAATATTTTATGTAATTATAAAGAGCTTTTTGCCTGGTCTGCCGTAAGGAAGGGGGTTCAATTTTTTTATGACGTTCTACCCTCAAGGTCCATGAATTAAATTACATTTCAAGTCGACAACTACTTTTTTGGGGAAAACTTCAGCCACAAATCTCGTCCTTAATTTCTTCCAGATCCAATGTCTTCTCTTTACCAAGGACACAGGAACTTGTTTGCGACATTTGGTAGCTCTTTGGACTTGAACTGCGGAGCCTACAAGGTGTATCAACCTCGGATATATTTGGAGATAATTCGCACAGAGGGTGTTACTTTGCTTACTCCTGATGGCCACAAAGTCACTTTGACGGGAAGGATCCTCACCATCCATGGACTGAACTCTAGTATGCACGGAAAGATTGTCTGCAAAGTTGTGTCGACATGTGCACGGATACAGGAGGAGGTTGATCTCGGCCAACTTTTACCCGTTCCACAGAAAGGTGCGACATTATTGAGCCCTTCACTCTCAAAGGTGGTCAAACTCAAAATTCGGCAACATTTCCAAATTAGATTTTGAAGAGGGTTAAAAACAAAGATCACCATATGAAGGTACTAACAAAGAGGTTTCATTTGAATTTTCACACCATAGGGTTTCATCCACAGACTCAAAAGTTAGAACTATAAATACAAAACAAATACTGAGTACCACCTAAAATTACTACCAAATACGTTTCAATTGGACGTTCACACAGACGGATGCCATTCACAGAGTCAAAAGGCAAAAGAAACTACATTTACAAACAAATAGCACCATGTCAAAGTTCTTCCAATAAGGTTTCAGGTTTTTAGTCCCACTGATTACTCTACCAGTGAAACGGTATGCACCAATTGAATAGCTTTGAACTCATTTCAATGGTCCAGATACATATAGCACCCACTTGCAAAGGACATTGCTTATTATGGCAAAAAGATCATACACTGAGGCTTGACAAGAGTCATGGATGGCTGCTTTATCTTTGTTCAATTAGACAGGCCTTAAACTTTCTGATTTACCACTTTTTCTCTTCATGCCGCAGGAGAACCGCCTAAACCAGTTGTGTCGCCTGAACAATCAGTCGTTAAAGAAGGGAACAATATAAACGTCACATGTTCAGTTTCTAAGGGGAAAAAGATAAATAGCATCACTTGGTACAAAGACAAAAAACTTGTCCCAGATGAGTTGGTGGTTACGTCTTCTTTCAAAAGCATTCTTATCTTGACAAACGTCGCGCACTCCGATGCAGGGATTTACGAGTGCAGAGTGGTGGATTTTGGCGCCGGATATTGGTTCTCACCAGCTACAATTAAGGTTGAAGGTATGACTTCAGTTTTGACAAAACGTAATATTGCGTGTGAGACCGCTGTCTTACGTAGACTAGGTAGAGCGTTAAGTGGATTCTAATGCGTATAGTTTTCAGGGGCTGGTCCTTCACTATGTCGAACCGCTTTGCAACTGAAGACCTTAGAATAGTCTTTCTTTAGTTTGAGATGCCCATCTGATAGGCTATTTTTAAACTTTGAGCGTCAAATGTTGATTGTAATTATTTTCCCTATTTTATTTAGGTGTGGACACTCCAACCACTCCAACCACAACGCCGACACGACTACCAGTCGTTCCTGTATCAGTTGCAGCCAAGCCATTCCAGCCTGCTGACATAAACTGCACCATGTTCATAGTTGACCAAAAAGTGACTTTATGGCAAGAAACGTCGTCTGGAAAACTCGTCCAAAGAATCCCTGATGGAGACTCACTCATCCTCAAAGGCCTCGTGTTCACGCTCATGAACGTTATAGACGAGGATGAAGGGACATACTATTGCCAAGCTGGAAGCTATCAGAAAGTACCTGCAGTTAGGCTATCGTTAATAGGTAATATAGTATAATGACAAAAAAGCGAAGATCTCCTTTGTCCTTTACAGATAGATTTTCAGTTGTGTGTTGTAAGTGGCGGACCCTCCCCTGCCTTAACAAATTTCATCGATCTGCCCCAGTTGCTTTGATTGTGCATCGCTTTGACTGGCTAAAAAGTCTATAACCATTTTCTCAATCAATCGGTTGAACCAGCCTCGTCCCCAGTCCTCAGGGTTCAAACGTTGGTGTTCCACCGGATACTCCTTTGTCCGCGCGAACTTTTCCGCTGGGTGATTTATCCGGTGGATAGCGGTGACGTTTGAAAACTCACGGTCTCCATGTGTTCTCTCTTGCTCCTTGTCCATGAATGGGACGTCTCTCTCGGTGAGAAAACTCCGGTAGTGGTGAACTTGACGGAGCCGAGAACGCCTAGGGTGAACTTGTATTAAAGTATGTAACAAAATCACTTTCTTGTATTTTGCATCCCTATTGTAGACACGAAACCTCCTTTTATAACCAATTTTGTCTCAAGACTATCTGTCAACGTTTCACAAACCACGAGGCTAATTTGTGAGACAGAAGGTCACCCTTCACAAGCGGACATTCACTGGCTAAAAGACGGTGTTGAGGTGGGACGCTGTACGGGAGAAATGCGGCAGCAAAACAAAACATGTCACATCCATGGCGACCAGCCAAAGTACAAGATTACTTGGACAGGATCTGGGGCCGAGTTGATGGTCCAGAATGCTTTTCACCCTCTTGATAGTGGAGAGTTTACTTGTATTGCGAGTAACGCCGCCGGAGAAGATAAGAAAACTCTTATTCTTGATGTTCACGGTGAGTTGATCAACGTATTCTACGTAACAGACACACTATTAGTAAGAAATGTGTCAGTTAGATCCGTCGTTGCAATTCTCAAAATTTGGATTCATGGTTTTCCGCCCTTCCCCACTTTTCTTTCTAAAATCCTGCTTGGTCGGAATTTAGTTACCTCTCTTGGAGAACTCTGTACCAGTGCTAGAAGCTCAAACAGTTCATATTTTTTTAAAAAACTGATTCTCGAGCTCTTACTGGGTTCTACAGACAAAACCGGAATGTGCATTGCTAGTTAACTGCCATCATTTTGTCTTACTATGACCTTTGTTCCTTTGTGCAGAAAAACCAGTTTTAAGCAAGAAAAACGACACAGGAATACGCGTACTTGCCTTTGAAGCTGCCAGTACGATCCAGTCCACCGCGCTGCGCGGTCATCCGATACCATACTTCGAGTGGTATCGACAGCCAATCGGATTCTGTACCTCAAACTGCAAGCCCGACGAGAAAAAATGGCGTCGAGTTCCTCGGAGTGTTATAAACCCATCTGCGCAAGTCCCATCGAGAGTAAGCAGTTTGTTCTTGGCACCTTCTAAATCTGGTTATTATTTCCGATGTGTTGCCGAGAATGCTCTCGGAAGGGACGATGTTGTATATCACGTGCATAGAATGGGTAAGAAGTGACACTATTAATCTAATCGTTAAAAAGCCGCGCTTTTGTTGGTGAACTCATTACATTTTTGTTCGCATTTTCATTCCGTAGATATCCAAACAGTCTTACCAGAAATCGTTTCCACCTCTCCAGTGGTTCGCGTGGACGAGAAAAATTCGTTTCGGCTTCTTTGCCAAGCAAGTGCTGGAGATTTCCAATATCTCACATGGCAGAAAAAAGGTGGTGGCAGAATGCTTACTTCTGAACTGAAAACAAACGACTACAATTTAACAACTACGTTATCTACTGAGCATGCTCAGTTGAAGGACGCCGGCGACTACCTCTGTGTTGGTTGGACAAACAATGACACAAAGATTTCAATGATAACCGTTTTCGTCAAGGGTATGATAATATTAAATTTCCTATTTTTCGTTTCCTCTTAAACAAAATGATTTTAAAAAAAGATGCTGTTGTGCCTCTCTACCATTTTTATTTTTAATAGTTTTCTTTTTACTTTGACATCTTTCGGGTATTTTGGACACCTCGTGTGTCAGACATTTTGGGCCAGTTATTTAAACGGAGTTTAACCAGTGTTTAACAAAACTGCGTTCTAAGTCATTTTCAGCTTGCCCAACGCTTTTTTCTAAGCATCATTTGTGGTGAACAATTTCATTAAAGCATATAGTCTAGACTAGAAAAGCATTATCTTCTTAAATTGACCCACTAAAGAAGAGATCTGAAGGTCCAAAGAGGGAAAAATTTAGTATGCGAAGAAGCAATAGCTATTAGCATTTAGACTCCCAATTCTCAATAATGAAATGAAATGACACTTTCCAGTCGGATAATCAAAGAATATCTATGCTTTCCAGTCGAGTCGGACGCTGTATATAGTTTTTTGTAAACATTTTGATTTCTGCTTGGTTAAACAAATATCATTTTTCATTACATCCTAGATTCCCTTGTGTGTTTTTTCTCTGTTTCTTTCTTTTTAGAGCTTGCTGTTCCTGTTGTTTCACTCTCAAACAAAACCATTTTCGAAGCACAAACAAACAAAACAGTGTTACATTGTACAATTGCATCCGGGTACCCAGCTCCAAATATCACGTGGTACAAAGACGGCGAGCAGTTGAAACTGTTGGCCCTTGGTTCAAAAGATGACTGCAGAATAAATGGCTTTCATTACATGGAAAAGTATCGACCTCCTAAAGCGGAATATCTAGTGATATGCAGACCAAGTCACGTCCAAAATACGGGGCTCTACAAGTGTGAAGCTATGAATGTAGTGGGGAACGGTTCTAATGAAGGCTATTTAAATGTCTTAGGTTTGTATAGAAAACTATTACAGCATTTTTGAATAATAAGTACGTTTTAGTTCCCCTGAACACGCACACGTAACGTTTCCAAATGGTAGCTCTTCTTCTCCTTAACCTGTTAAATCTGTAAGACCTTTTTTGACAGCGAAAATAAATTTTGTTTTCAAAAAGGGAAGGAGAAAATAACGTTCACCAAAACCCGTTCACGTTAAATAACAATTAATCAGGTTGGGAATGCCCTGATCCTTTTTTTCCCCAAACTTCTTGCAGTCCAAAGTACCCGGTTGAATTGAGCTCAAAAAATAGCATTTATACCAAATTTGCAAGAAAAGGCTAGCTATATCCTTCCTTCTTACTTTGTCTTTGACATTTATTTGCATGATATACGTTTTTAACTCTTTTGCTTTCCATTTCTTACATCTCAGCTCAGCCGAAAATCATAAATGTGGACGATACTCTGCGCAAGGATCCGGGTGAACAAGTGAATATAACCTGCAGGGCCACGGGTAACCCCGCTCCCGCTGTAAAATGGGTTATGAAAACCGGCGAGGGTCGCCACAAACCTATCACACAATGGAGCCATGAGAACCACACCCTTCGGATAGACTCTGTACAGGAACACCACTATGGAGAATACGTGTGCTTTGCGGAAAATGAATTTGGTAATGACACGGTGGTCCTTGCCGTGGGTAAGTCTAATGTCCCCGTTGGTTATAAGCCTAATATCCAAATAAGTAAGTCTAATATCCCCGCGGGTACGTCTATTGTCCCCGTGGCTAAGTTTAATATCCCTGCGGGTACGTCTAATGTCCCCGTGTGTAAGTCTAAGCTTCCACTCCAATTTTGATATGACACCTTCAGTATGGTTTTATACTGGTTGCTTTGTTCGAAGAAATTCCATTGATATAATCTCCGAGTTTGCCTGAAGATGAACCTGTGCATAAAATGGTATCTTACTACGTGGGTCAATACATCGATACGTTGTTTCTTCTATAAAATGTTTTATGATTAGGGTGCGGTCGTTCTCATGAATTTAGCCATGTGCATTGTTACTGGATAAATCGTGCAAAATAAAAAGTAGGGCGTGTACTCTTTACAAAGGGTAAGAATAAGCACAGTCAGTTAATGCCCGGCCTCCTGTGCGGGATGTTACGAATTCGATTCCTCGGTGTGACGTCAAATCCTTGTATCAAGTCCTTTCCTTTCCGTGCAGCTTAAATGAGCTTTAAATACCCGTAAAACGGAGCACTGTTGGAGGAAGGGGGTAAAATGAACACACCTTCTCAAACTCATTAATAATTCATAAAGAAAATACAAAGAAAATTAATGTTTAATGAGTGTTTGGAAATCGGATGAAAAACTGCTCAGTATTTGCATCCTTAATTTCTCCTTCAAAAATGATTTTGTTTGAGAAGAAATATCAAACATTCGACACAGTGTTTCATCACCAGATGAAACACCTCGAAGTTCGTCAAAAATACTCCGCTGCGCGTCGTATTTTCAACTCTCTTCTCGGTGTTTCATCTGGTGATGAAACACTGCGTCTCATGTTTGATATATTACGTCAACCTCTGGTTTGTCAGTTTAAGTACTGTTACAAAGTCACTGACGTAAAACAAGGAGCTTTACCTTTACCTTACCTGTACATCCGCCGAAATAACAATCGTTCTAGTAAATCAGACAAATGCCAAATAGCGCCCACACGGTATTAACCCTTGAAGTCCCAATGGTGTCCAACATCAATTTTCTTTTAACCATATCCATTGATTGTCAAGAGATTTGGTTATGAGAATTAATAAATTGATCACCTAAGAGAAAATGCTTTGATCTTTCATCAAATTCTCTCAACTTATTCTTTAAGAAAATGTATAAAGATCAGTTTGGAGAATTTGTATGTGGATATTGCGGCTTAAAGGGTTAATGTAAGGTGTACGTTCGCTTTAATTTTATTACAGTTCGGAAAACACCCATAGCAGCAGTGAGGGATCCGCTGCCATCATTGTCCAAAGCTCACTTGATAGTCGCCATATTAGTCAGTGTAGTTCTGTTCATTTTGCTGTTGATCATCGCGGCCGTTTTATATCGCCGGCGCCAGATGTATGGTGGTTTCTATATATGTACCACTCCACCTCTGCCAGACTTGATAGCGAGTATGGATGCTTCTATTCCACTGATTGAACAAGTGAACAAGTTGCCTTATGACAAGCGATGGGAGTTTCCACGAGACCAGCTACAGTTTGGTAAGTACTAACTATGGAAATTGTTGTTGTTGTCTTAAATCCTGTGGAGATGCATGTTTGTTTGTAAGGGATAGGATTTCTGCGATACTGTATTTTGGTGGTGTTGTTGTTGTTGTTGTTGTTGTTGTTGTTGTTGTGTTTGAGTTCCAAAAATTTGATGTGACTAAATAACATCTAGACATTTTTTATATGAAAAATAAATTGTCAAGGGGTTTAACCTGAGAACTCGAACTCTTGAGACTAACATTCATCAGCGATGCGACCAATAGCTACGTTGTAGCTTTAGTTGTAAGCGACGTAGTACTGGCATTTGCAACAGCGTAAAATTAAAATTGAGCTTGTTGCAAGTGCCAGGATCGGAAATAGCCATTCTACGTTTTTTGGTGCTTGCACCTTCGCTGGAGTCGTCGCCCTTCGTAACGGAAAATCCTTCATACCTTCAATTAGGCTTAAGTTGCTTATGGAACCACACTTGATATTTTTCACTGTTACGGCTTATGCTTATATCCTTTACTTGACTATGTATTTCTGCGCATGTTCTTGCTGTGTTCCTCGTCTAGGTAGCGTGTTGGGCTCGGGAGCTTTTGGTGAAGTCTATCTGGCTGAGGCAGATGGTAGCATTATTTCTGATAACTCATCATCAGTGTCTACAAGACATCGTTTATCTTATCAAAAGGACGCGCGGAGGAGGTCTTCCACCGTCTCTTCTAAGGGACCCATCAAAGTAGCTGTGAAGACATTGAAAGGTACTAAAATAATCAAAGTCGATCCTTACATGCTTGTTTATTTCATAAAAGCCACGCAGTACTTTTCTCTGTTAGTGTTCATTATGCTGTGCAAACCAAGACGTGCATGATCATTTAAACGTACGCTTCTCAAAAGTACTTTCCTGAGAGATACAGGTAATTACACTGACATCGTAGTTCTACCTTTTCTGGGACCAGACAAACCACCGTTTGGCAACATTTTTCCATGAATTTTTTTTCTCTTGCGACGAAATATTAAGCATTCTCTCTGTTCCGAACTTGGCTCTGCTATTTTTTCTTAAACAGAAGGAGCTGATGACTCAGAATTCAAGGATTTACAGTCAGAACTCAAAATGTTAATACACATTGGATCACACAAGAATATCGTCAATCTGCTAGGAGCATGCACAAAAGGTACAAATCAAGAAATCTATGATGTTGGTCCTCTCCCGAAATTTTCGCAGTTCTCGTTTCCAGAGGCAGGTCGGAAAGCTTACCGGGCATAAAACCCGGCTAATTCAGTATCCTGGGATAGGTTGTGAATGCTTATTACACGCCTATCTCTCGAGAAATATATACGGACAAGTCAGAACAACACCCGGCTTTCGTAGAGCTCCGGCCTGTCTGAGCGAGAAAATAGTGTAAGATCATGTTGGTTATAATGAAGGTCTTGTCGTAGTTCTCATGACAGCTTCAACGGACGGTGAAGTTTTAACAGATCAATTTAGGTCAGTTCTGGGAAACTGACCACCTACCCCTCCCTAAGCCAACATTTTGCCTTAAGTGAAAAGTAAGTGATAATGTTGGCGTAGGGGAGGGGTAGATGGGTAGGAATTGATCCTTGTTAACTTTGCCTGTTTCATGTGTACATGACGGCAATTTAAAGAGCATACACCATTGTTTCAAAAAGGTGAGCGACATAGCCACTAAGTGGGTTTCCCATGTATGTGATTTGTACCGCAACTGGTTTGGGTGGATGGAACGATATCAAGTATGGGTAGAAAAGTTGGCTGCCGTTCGATGTGTTCGATCGCTCCTATCTGTATCTAAATCCTCCCCAGTTCAAACAACGACTAGAGGGGACAAAATAAGTGGGTAAGTGGGATTGTTAATTCAATATCCCAATTGTGTTCTCATCTGACTCATAGGCCGCCATTGTGATTTGTGTGTAATCATTGAATATTGTCCATATGGAAACATGCTGCAGTTCCTTAGAAAGAGAAGAGGTTGGTACGAGCCAACATGGTTGACTCCCTCTGAGGACCCAGATAAACAATTTTCAGTGACCGATCTGGTGAGCGCAGCTTTTCAAGTTGCAAGAGCCATGGAATTCCTCGTATCTAGAAAGGTAAGATTAAAGTAGGAAGAAGAAGTCTTTACTCAGGCCCCCCTCCCCCCTTTATTTTTAGACCAAACTGAGGCCCCCTTTCCCCCCTCCCCCTTATCTCAAGGTCTGGATACGGTACTGTTACTACCTGTTAAGAGACGCTGACACATGAGATACTCTACTTCTCTACCAAGACAACGCAACTTTATCCTCAGGGCTTCTTGGTCGCTGTCTATTTTTCTGGCAATTACCCCTATCTATTGACTTCATTTTTCTGACATCGAAAAAGCCTTCCAAATTTAGTTAGCAATAGCATGTTATGAAGAATAAGCCGTGGGATTTAAATTTTAGGGAGCTTAGCAACAACGACGGCGACTGCTACGAAAAGTAAATTCGTGCTACTTCAAACTTTATCGCGCTTATTCCAACTTGTTCAATTCGTCAAATGTTGGCAAATTTTTCTGGAGTTGAATTCTAAAAGAATATGTCAAAGTTCAGAAAGAGAAAAAGAAAGTCGTTGCCGGCCTTGTGTTCACGTCCTCGACAAAACGTGAAATTAGGCACTTTTTGCTGTTTTCGTTGCCGTCATCGTTGCTTTAGCTCCCTATCAGAGCGGAGAGATAGTTGAAATGAATTAATGATATCATAGCTTTTAAAGATAAAATTTGTATAAACTAGTGGTAAAGGATCTGGTGTTCATCGCAATTTCATTACATCATTCAAAGGTCAAGAACGTATAAGAAACTTTACAAAAACCCCTTTCCTTTTAAGAACTGGATGACGAAACCAAATGGTAAGCTCTGAATGGAATGGATGTTTTAAACAATGTTAAACTGAAATTAAATCGTCTTTTCTTTTTACTAGTGTGTTCACAGAGATCTTGCAGCCAGAAATGTATTGGTCGGAGCAAACTATGTGGTAAAAGTAGCAGACTTCGGATTAGCCAGAGATGTTTACAAAAGCGATCAGTACATCAAAGTTTCTGCGGTAAGTAGCCTTGGAACGATTTGAGTTTGAATTTAGTAAAAAAGCAATACATTGATGCGGCTAGTGGCTGCTAAATCCGTTTCTTATGTTCCTTTAACCTTGTTTGCAGGGCCTTGTCCCAGTAAAATGGATGGCGATTGAATCTCTTGCAGACAGAGTGTATTCTGAACAGAGTGATGTGTAAGTCCGCTTATATATATATTTCGCTCTAAGTTACGAGTCACTTGAAGAGCTTCAACAGTGGGTGAAACTAAGAGTATTTAGAACTTAAGGAAGAAAACAATAGCTATACATCAGTTATCTGTTAACACCGTATGATGAATGTAGATTTTGATCATTTTCATTTATATGTTTAGGCACGATTTCAGGACATATAGCCAGACGAAAATACTTAAGAGGCAACACGGGGGAAAAAATTAACTGGAGCCCTACATTTTTTTCATAACGCCCCCACAAGGAAAGGTGTCTCTACACGTGCAGCCTCGTTCCCATGGTCTTCTCTCTTCTTCACCCGTGGGAACGAGGTTGATATACCGGCCACGTGTTCTTGGCTCGGTTTTTTCCGGCGGCGAGGGGGAGGGGGCGGGGGAAAGGCTTTCTCATTTCTCAAAAGGTCAGCTGGTTACCATCCTTGAAGACCTTATAACATATATATATACTTTGTCGTCTTACCCCAGATGGTCCTTTGGTGTGTTTCTGTGGGAGTTGTTTACCCTTGGTAAGTTAGCTTCTTCTTCTTCATCTTTTTTTGTTGTTGTATCGTTGACCTCAATGATGCTCGATCAATTTTTGAAATCATGATAATTTTTGTTGGTCCTATTGCGTATGAAATCAAAATCATTCTCGATATCGTCAACCCAATGAAACGTTGAACGCCGACGAAAAGAGTGCGTTCTTCATCAGTCAGCTTTGAAAAAAGACAAGACGCGTTTTTGTAACTAAAAGATCTGAGAGCTGAGATCTGCTTTCAGCAAAATTAACCAATAGCTGAAGATTTGGCTGAGTGTTTTCGTGAAAGACCCCTCTTCAGACTTTTTCATTGATATTGTTGTTTTGATTTTAAGGTGGCAGTCCCTACCCAGGCCTACCCCCCACGGAAATATATAACTTCATCGTGGCAGGAAATCGAATGGATCAACCAGTGGATTGTCCTGAAGTCATGTAAGTAATGAAAATCCTAAGGATTTATAACGGGGTAGCTAATCGAACGAAACCGAACCAAAAATCAATCGAACCGAATCGGTCGGATTGTTGTTCGATTGGTTCGGTAATCGAACATAATCAAACTGGAACTTTTCGGTGAGTTCGATTACCGAACTCAATCGAACTCAGTCGACTTGATTTTGCTCGGCAGAAAGAAGAAACGCTTCCACTTTCAACTGAATCGGAAAGATCTCCCTTTAATATGTATGTGAAGCAATTAACTAAAATCTTTATTGTTAAAGCGATTCAAAATCGATAAATTCACTACTTTATTACATCCACTTTGAAATCACTGTCTATCCGTGCAATCTGATTGGCTCTCAGCAGTGTGATTTATTCCTAAATCGCAACATTTTTTGCTCTAAATCGCATCTGTTCCAAATCGCGTCATTCATGTTCTAAATCGCATCATTTCTGTTTTAAATCGCACCATTTTTGTTCTACATCGCATTATTTCTGTTTCAAATACAAAATAAGATGTAAAAGCCTTTTTGTTTCAGCTTTTTTAACAAACCGGCTACTCGATCAATAAAATATTAGTACTGACTAAACTCTGCGATTTCAAAATGGATGTAATAAAGTGGTAATTGAACTTCATGTCGTACAATTTTGGTCTGAAATCATACTTGTGATTTCAAATCGAACTGACCAAATTGCACTCCACTCAGTTCAATTACCATTATTCATCACCTTGATAAAATATATCTACATAATAACAGGCAGCGCTTAACTACGGTAACGGGCATAAGACTTACACTTCAACACCAAAGCACAGGCAACAGTTCACGCTGCAGATGTCCAAGTTGGCCGTGCTCATCGTCAGTTTCCTTTCTCTCTTTTTCTTCTTAATAATAAACTTTTCACCGACACCGACGGGGAAAGAGGGCACTCGTGGTAGCCTTTCACCATCGCTTCCAGAATTGTTAATTTCACGTTTTCCGCCCTCTGTGACATCTTCTTTGCATACTCGTGTTTGAAATAAGGAATTTATGAGTAATAATTGATGGCCTATGACGATGTGTAGAGCAGATGTCACAGGAGAACAGTCAAATGTCCTTTGCGGTTTTAAATATAGGTTTCTACCATTTTCCCGCTTGGGTCCACTAGTGTTTGATATTTTGAATATAGATCACTGAATTCCTCTCTAAAGGTAATGGTTCTATGATACTCATGTATGCTATTTTCTAACTCTGAGAGATCCTCTTTGAATCTTTGACAAATAACTCCAACTGTTGGCCAATCTATTAATTTTAATTCGTTTACATCTCTATATACTGTCCTAAACACTTCTATTTTTTTTTGTTTCTCTTCATTTATCTCTTCCCTTTTCACTTTACTGTAAATATACCCACGTACCTCATGCAGGACTCTTAAGACTACTGATACGTCATTAACTGGGCACTCGTCAGAAAATAAATTTCTCCACTTCCGTCGCAATTCACGAACAAAATCTTTCAAATTTTCCAACACCACAATTCTCTTTTGTAGTTGAATGAGGACATCTAGTTCTTGTAGTAGTTCTCTTTTTGTTTCTTCTTTGAGTTCACAAGTTAAAGGGCCATTCACGTCTAGTGTAAACGCTACACATTCCGGACATTTATCATTTGTTTTTTTGACTTTTTTGCCTGGGTCCGCACCCGGAGCCTTATATACCCAAGTAAATACCAAGAACTCGACGTATGGTATTGCGTTTGTCATATCTGTATCCGTTACACTATTTTCCGATGGGCTCTGACTGCCAAAATGTTCAAGGCATTTTAAGATAATCTTACGCTGGCGTCCTTTAAAAAACGGCAAAGTAATCTTCCCCAGATCAGTGACCAGTTCTCCCACCTCTTCTTTAATATCGTCAGGAACCGTTCCCAGCTGGGCGATTAACGAGTGGCAGATACGTAACAAACGAAGAATCTTTTTCAAGTCTTCGCGAAAGGCGCCAAACTCTCGAGTTTGAAAGCGAGGAAAGTCAGCACAATGATGTATCATGTAACTTAAAACATCAACGCCGGTGATTTCGTTGCAAACCTTAACACTTCCCAATGACTCTTTTATTTCTAAGACACGCTGATGGGTGCTTTCATCTTTAAGTTTACTGTACTCTCTATCAACAGTTTCCGCAAATTGACGCCACTCTCGTCTCAATTCGTCCCTTTTATCCCTTTTCTTCAAGTAGTACGTTCCATAAGCAAAAAAGACGATCGCTAGAACCACATTAAAGCAATAGTAAGTCAAAGTTATTTCTTCCATGTAATCTTCCACAGCCATATTCGTTTTCATAAATGACTACTCCATGTAAGCCCGACGTATAATGTCCTTGTCTGTTCCTGTTCACCAACCTCGCGTCCAGGGTCTTCTCGTTTTCCAATATGGCGGCGGCAGAAAACACAGCGGGCTAAAACGATCGTAGCCTCCCACGCAGGCGTTTTTAGGAGAGCTCGTATTTCTTTCCTCCCTTGATCGCTGATTGTGCTTAAGATTGGTGCATTACAGATTACATTTATACATACGCTTTGATTGATTAATCCTTCCAAAACAAAAATGCTATCCCTGTGAAGTCCTGTGAGTTCTTCATGGAAAATGAAAAGTGCTTTCTTCAGGTGTACAGATTTCCTGTCTGATCGTTTGGAAACTGTGACTGTACCGTCAGAGAAATCTTTCTTTAAAAGGGTTAGAATCAGCAGCAAAGAAACAAAAAGAAGATTCGAAGATATTCGCGGATTATTCTCGTCATTCACTCTTCAGTAGGGGGCGGGTTCACGAGTCACGAAACAAATATGTACGTTTTCACGCTTCTCAAAAATAGAGGTCGTTCAAGAAGTTACGTTAGAGCGGCTATAAATTCCCTAGGGAAGGCAGCTATTGGTGGGTCTGAGCGCACTGAAGTGCGAAGCTACATCAAAAGACTCGAAAGTGAAATTAAATCAAGCCACCAGATTCTAGTTAAGGTGGTTTGGCCAAATTAACGATTTATTTTCTTCGATTGATCTTCAATGTAAGTGTTAATAATCACGGAGTGCACTTCAATCACATTCACAGCACAGTTTTTCAGTACATCACGATTAACGGAAACCAAAACTTGTCGATCACGGCGTCACGAAAATAAGCTTGACCCCACCCCCCCCGCCCCATTGTCTTGTCTTGTCATCATCTGTCCACAAGTAGACGCGAGTTTCAGCCAATTCAAACCAGCTACTTTTTACATTTCCAAATCGTCATTGCGGACGATACTTTATGAGATATCTGAAATTGTAATAGCTAGGACTATTATAAGGAATAAAGATATTTCTGATGCTGATACTATTTGGTTTGTGTGTTATAAATTACCAATGATTTGTTTCTTTCGCGATTTATTTGCCATACAAAACTTGCAAAGCTTAAGCTTATCAACTAATTTAGCTGTCCGTTTGCAAGGGGTTTCCAATGTTCCAAAACTTGCGAGTGTGAATGTCATCCCCACCCTACCGTAATTGTATAATCTGTGCGGCTTTGTTTAGTAAAGCTTAATTTTTTTTTCATTTCATTGTAATATTCACGGGCCTAGCCTGGCCTTCTTTTAGATCCACCGTGATTTAAAAAGGGGATGAGGAGGCCGGGAGACGTTGAAACTAAACTCGGAGAACTACATGTAAACTAAAAATTGAAGCCAAACATAGTGTCGCTATCCTTCGATATTTCCCGGGTAGCTAATCGAGTGAAACCACACCAAAACTTAGTCGAACTCAATCGGCGCGATTAGTTCGATTATGTAGACAGAAAGACAAAACGCATCCAGTTTTAACACAGGGAGCCCACAAAATCCTGTTTGCGAAACCGATTGTATTGTACTTTCATAGTAAATGTACTGGATTTACCGTTTGCTTTATCTGTACTATGTAGTGGGAAATCGCTAAATATGTGCATGTGTCAAAGCTAAGTAAACGTTGTGTTACCTTACCTAATGTAAATTGTCGTCCTTGATATTTTAAACGATTTTGAAGGATTTTAAGTTCGCTTTTTGCTGTTCCTTTTATAGAAGGACAAGGGTAGAATCAATTTTTTGGACGGCTTCAGCGCCAGAGCGATTTTCACCCAGAAAATGGCATCGCTCCACTTTCAAACGACGCAGCAGAAAGCTCGAAAGATTCACGCTTCTTACCGTACCTTTCGATCGCAAATCCATCCAGAAGAATTTGTATCAAGAGAAACAACTTTTACCACCCAGTCACACTTGAATGGTTTTCCATACAAATCCTTGTAAATTTCGAAATTCTCAAACTCTCGTGAAATATTTCCTTAAGCATTACGCGGCTCAAATCTCCTTTTGATTCAAAACAGGCACTTTGAGCCCTTAAATGCGTAAGGGAAAGATTTAACGACAATTTAAATTTTCAGAATTTGCAAGGAGTTGTATGGAAAAAGCCACTCAAGCGTGACTGGGTGGCAAGAGTTGTTTTTCTGATACAAATCCTTTTCATTTTTGGCGGCCGTTGCAATCGCTACTATTTGAGATATACGGCTAAAATTTTACAGGTTGCCTAATTTTAATATGCTCTTTCAGCTTCTGCTAACAAAAGTTTCAAACGCGATCTGTTTTCGTGTTTACCGAAAGTTAATCACGGAATCAACTAATGCAAAAGGCCTATATTTACAACTTTATAGCCTTTGTACAGACCCCCCTCCCCTCAGTAAAAATAGGAGAAAAGCGATTTTTACTAGTTTTACTGAGTGGAGGAGGGGTCTGTACACAGGCTAAGAATTCACCGTTGCTAATCGTGTATGTAGGCTACGTGCTTAACTACGGAAACGGGCATAAGACACTTCAACGCCAAAGCACAGGCATCAGTTCACGCTGCAAATGTCCAAGTTGGCCGTGCTTATCGTCAGTTTCCTTTAGAGCTGGACCCCTATCTCTCCTTTTCTTCTTAATAATAAACTTTTTACCGACACCGACGGCGAAAGAAGGCACTCGTGGTGGCCTTTAACCATCGCCTCCAGAATTGTTAATTTCACGTTTTCCGCCCTCTGTGGCATATTCTTTGCGTACTCGTGTTTGAAATTGAAGACAATACATAACTTACTTGAACGCAAAGCCTTGTTTGAAACCAGATGAACCTGGGTTTATGTTCGATTGTTGCAGTGTTCGATTATGTTCGATTCTTTAAGAGTTCGATTTCCGAATGTTAGATTGTGTTCGATTGGCAAAATTTTGGGTTGAGTTCAATTAAGTTCGATTACGAACCTAATCGAAGTCAATCGAACGATTGTAGTTCGATTGGATTCGATTACCAACTGTTCGATTGGCTATGCTAGGTTAATACCAAGGAAGATACCAGGTAGTCATGGAAGCGAAGATTTAAAAAAAGAGAGAGAGACAAAAACAACAAGAACACGACTTCGCGCAAGTAAAACCGATAAGGACAACTGTTTGCCATCTTGCACTCTCTTCTTTCTTATCACTTCTGATTTCCCTTATTGACAGGTATTTTATGATGAAAGACTGCTGGGCAGAGAAACCAGCGGACCGACCAAACTTTACCGCTTTGGTGCAGAGGTTGGATCACGTGATTGAATCTAACATGGCTGCCATGGTCAGTACAAACATGATTATAATTTATATATATTGTTTTTGTTTTTACCTCACCTTGCCCCAACCCCATCAATAGCCAAGATGGTTTTGAAGCACCGCCTCAAACTGTTAAACAAAATGGAAGGTGATAGCAGCTTGACAGAAAATTAAATTTCAATTTTTTTTCACCGAGGAATTGTCTTATAGGCAAGAGCTGCTCACATGCCGTTAAATCCTCGCTCGAATAAGATGAGGAAAAGGGGAACGAAGAAATACCCAAGATTTTATGAAAACAACTTTCTTAATTAATCAGCTGAGTAGAAAATGCTCTCTTATAGGGAGGGCAACCCCCCCTCCCCTTCCTGGAATTTTCGGTCAAAAAGGACTCAGAAAAGAGTCTCTTGAGCCTTCCCACTTCCAATCACTGGTCAGCTCCCCCTCTCCCCTCACCCCCCGTCCACCGCAACCTAAACACCATGTTGGCAACGTAGCCCAGAAAATCGAGCTTTGGACCTATAAATGAAGGTTTATTCTTGGATCTACCAGGGTCACGAAGGATATTTGGATCTTGGGATTGACGAACCAGCACCAAAAGAAGCAGAAACAGATAAAGATGGATATCTGACTCCTCTGGAGATTATTTCTCCTGTTCGCGAAAAGTCCACGCTTTTTATGAACGGTAACGTGCTCGGAAGTAACAAGGAACTGTGTGGAAGTCACAGGAGTGTGGCAAGTGAAACCAAAATCAAGGACCTTCTCGAAGTAGAACGATACACGGAGCTTGGCTTTAAGCCTTCCAGTAGCGCAAATAGTTTGTCTGAAACTATTCTGTGAACAACAAATGTGAGGCTGTAAAGCTACTAGGATTGCATAAAAATTCTTACGGAGGTGGGGTTGCGTCGAACGGAGATTACCCTCGTGTCACTTGTGGTACATGCGCTGAGCTCTAAATAGGCTGACGAACCTGTTAAGTTTTCTTGCCATTTTGAGAAATTCGTAAAGCTTAGTGGGGTATGGTAGATCCCTCTATGTGAAACTATCATTACCTAGCATTCTTTAGTTTCAAATCAATGTCCATCTGTATGGAGGGAAGATTGATACTTCCCAGCCTGAATTACGTCTCAAAGACAGCAAACAGCGCAATGGTACGGTTTGAATTAATTAAGTTATAGTATAATGCATGAATTCAAAGTTAAGTTACAATATTGTTATACTCCCACGCGTTCCGCTTTCAGAATGACTTACACTAGTCATCAATCGTGAACCGATTACAATCAAACTTGCAATTCAGTTTAAATCCAATAATATTAATCATCCTACGTTAACCTTATCAGCCTTATCAGGGGCACCCAACGACGGTTTCCTACTAAATGCATCGAAAACATTTTTTAGGCTATCCAGAGTACTTTTAGATCTCTAGAAATGCATTCTAAGCGGGGCTATAAAATTTGTACCTGTTCGGTCATCCTAGGGCAACTTCAGTACTTATTTTCCCGAAAATTTTAGATGTAATTTAAAGTTTACGAAAATAAGAATTTTTCTGAGTCCTCTCTCCATCGCATTTTCGAATCCACAAATTTTAGGTTTCCTTTTTCTACGAAAAATAGCTTAACCTAAGGATTGAAATGCGAAAAATTAATCTTTAGGAAATCGTTGGGAATTTATAAGATAAGCTTCGAAAATTGTTCGTGAATGAAACGGTCATCTCCAAGCCTTTTAGCCTTTTTCAAGCTATAGAAAATTCTAGGCAATTTCTGCCTCTCCGAGCAGATATGTTACCGAAAACAGTCGTTGGGTGCCACTGCCTTAGCTTGCCTTATTAGAAGGCGAACGTCAATTGGTTTGTTTCTAATTAATACATTTTCTTAATCCTGCTTGTATTTCGCGGCTAATTTAAACATCATGAAAAATACGAAGCTATAAAATTTAGACTACAACTATAATGTATTTTAGGAGAACATGAAATTAAAGTCCAAAACTACGTACGTAGAGAGAGGTTATTAACTGAGTAAACGTTTCAATTCAATTGCAATCGCCCTGTTTATTCATTTTGCCGGCTGCTCCTTTGGACATGCAACATTCAGTGAATCGTTGTTATCAAGCCTGTAAAAGTTGTTTTTGTGACAAAATGGGCACGATTTTAACCCAAACCTCTTTGATAGCAACCCTAACCGATTTATTAAAATGTTGCAACGTGAAATCATCCACGGACTAAGTCAAAATGTTTCCTTTTTTCGCGCATTCTTCCAGGTAAGGACAGGTTGTCATCACTGTTGTTGATAACCCCGGGAAGGGGTTGGGGGAGGGGGTACTCCCTTATTTGGCAAATACAAGTACGTGCCACTGAACAAGTTATGGTTTTCAAGGTCTTAAAATGAGCAATTTTTGTCTTAAACAGGATTGGGGTTTGAAAGCCTCGTCCGCACGGCTCTACCCAGACTTCCCTTAATGGCAATCTGCACGATGGTCATCAAAAGGGTAAGGGACTTAATCCTTACCCCCTCCCCCTTCCCCTACCCCCCTAGGCTAAAGGGAATGAATATGATGACATAAACTTAAGGTCCCTCAATTATCATAGTAAGACTGTATTTTTAAGGTTGCATCGCCATGACATATACAGCGTGCAAAGAAAGAAAGAAAGCCCGGGGCTAGTAGATTTTGCTATCGGGCTAGTGATTTTTGTTCTCACTGTTTTTGGGGGAAATTCAAATTACAGAAGGATGGTAATCAATCCCGCTAATCAAAAAAGGTTTTGGGGCTAGTTGAAATGACTTGTGGGCTAGTACATGCTAGCTACAGCTTGCCCGAATGGCAGGCTGTAAAACTGAGTTTCCTATTTATATTCACGACTAAGAGACGGGAATGGGTGTGCAGCTCGAACTAAGGAGCCTGAGTGTTTAATGCCGTCCAAATATCATACAAAGTTCAACATCATAACTAAAGAATGGTATACAAATATGCCTAAATAAAGTCACTCAGGCTAAACTATTCACGTGCGCTGCCTGATACGAAAACCCAAAAACCCAATGGGAAAAAATTGGGAACGTATTCCCCAACCAATGCGGTCGCACAACCTCTGGGGGTTAAAGGTAAAAAATCAATCGATAGATGAATAAAGTAAGATATAAAAATAAAAGTTAATAGTTCGAGAGCTGAGATGAATACATTACAACTGTCAAAACCTTATATACCTAATAACAATAGAGTCAATTAACGCCATAACGGCTCACGTGCGTTCATACCAATAGGAAAGTATTTACATTCTCTGTCACTGCCACTACGTTTAGCTCCGCCGAATGTAAATACATTTCCTATTTATATTTACGACTAAGAGACGGGAATGGGTGTGCAGCTCGAACTAAGGAGCGGCTGAGAAAACAAAGAACGGGAAACAATTACAGTCCAAGAGACATAGAGACCGCTAATCGGCTCTCTAGCGAATCTGCAACGTAGCCATCCTTAGCGTTTTACGAACGCCATCTACCGTGGAGCTTAAACATTCTATCAGAGATACCACCATTAGCGGCGGCAGATGCACCGCCACTTCTGAAGCTCTGCCAAGAGAAAGACTTAGGATCTAAGCCTACGTCTGCAATCTTCTTCAGTAAAACTTCTCTACATCTTGTATAAGACAGTTTGGAGCCTGGGCGGATGGACTGAGAGCCAGACTTGGTTTGAATATTTCCGAACAAATAGTCGTCTCCACCTTGGGAAGACGTCGGTAACCTGAGTTTGGCTTGCGATAAATACTTCTCTAAATTACCCCAGGGGCAAAGATCTGTGCCAGACTTGACAATGGGGACAATAGCGCCCTCGCGATATTGATCAGTTTTACTGCTTTCTATAAAAAGTTCAAAATGAGTGTCATGCAGCGCTAAATCCTTAAGCTTCAGATTAGCCAATTCATCAAATCTTAAGAACCCCGCAAAGGCCAATAACGCCATGGCCATGAATCTTGTGTCCACCAAAGATCCATCGAGACTCTGAAACAACTTTTGTAAAATTTCGGGTGTAATGGGGAGCTTTTTGGAAGTAAGGTGTAGTAGCCTTCTCTTAGCGGACTCCACGACCTTCAGGGGAAGTGTATGATTGGTAGGAGAGTCGAAACCAGCAATATCATGAGCCCAGCGAATGCTATAGAAGGCGTTCTGGACCGGCGCAGGAGAACTAGAAGCTTGGAGAACACTGAGCAGGTATAAAGAAACATAAACCGCAGTAGCAGGCAGCACTGCGATCTCGGGAAATCTGTTGGCCCAAGCACGCCATCGCTTAAAACCGTTGAGGTAGGTGAGAGTAGTGGAATCTGCCCTGGAACCAAGGACTATCTCCGGTAGCTTTTCTGCTAAGCAGCGTAGGGAGGGAGCTTTGACATCGTTAAGCTCAGTCCACATAGGGCTAGCGAAAACATCTGAAAATACAGAAGAAATAGAAGACCATATGGATTCAATGTAAGGACTTAAAAAAGGAAAGATGCACGAGAAAAAAAAGGAGCGGTAAAAGGAAACGCACGTAATAATTATGTAGATATAACTATCACACAGGTACATAAGATAACAAGAGAGCGACCACCGAGGCGCACTCGACCATATATATGGGGGACCTGGAAGGATTAAAAACTGACCGAGGTCACACAAAAATGTAACGGTACGACCCGTCGGGATCAGTGAAGGTACAAACAAGGTCACCGAGACCCGCATAAATGCCACCGAGGCAAAAGAAAAAACAGAACAAATCACTCAAAATAATAAACCACACTTTAATATAGGCTAAACAAGGTAACTACACGTAACTGCGGAAAGGAAACTAAGCCTAGAAGAACAAAACTAACAAGCCGACAAACGGACGGCTAATACATGAGACTTAAATTTAGGGCCATCAAAAATAGACTCTGTAGAGCCCGGAACAAAAATATTAGAAACATTGGTAAAAACAATGGTCTCTTTAACGCAAACGGAAAAGGGGGAATGGGGACCAAAGAGCATGGGCCAAAATGGAGCCGAGACCCACTTGGGGACAATAAGAGTGCCCATAGACCTACATACAAACAAATGCCTAATAACCCGGGGAACAAGGGACACTGGGGGAACAAGCCAGTAATTCTCCCCCGCCCAGTCAAAACAAAAGGCATCCACCCCCTCCGAGTCAGGATTCCAGAAACGGGAAAAGAATCTGGGTAATTTGCGGTTATGGGAATGGGCAAAACGATCTACGGAATGTGGACCCCAAATGTTGTCTACATGGTGGAAAAATTCAAACGAAACACCCCAGTCATCAAAATCAACGATCCTACTTATGGCATCAGCGTGCTCATTGAGAGACCTAGGAATCCAGTCCACCTGCAAATCAATACCATTTCGCAAAACTAGTTGAAAAATAGAAAGGGAAATTTCGTGCAAATCCCGCTTCATACTCCCGTTGCGAATAATGGACGGAATGTTGCGGTTATCCGTGAACCATTGAACTGCGCGCCCTGACAAAACTACGGAAAAACTAGAGAGACAAATATAGACTGCCTTAAGCTCACGCCACGTGGAGCTGCGAAACATTTCCTTAGCAGTCCACGGAAGATGACAAATAACACCCTGGTGGTCTTTAACAACACCGCCAACCCCTAGGTCACTAGTATCTGAATAAACAATGGAACGAGAACATGAAAAGTGACGCCCAATGGGCCTCCCATTCAAACACCGAACGTTCTCTTTCCAGAAAAAAAGCTCTTCTTTGACAGAATCGGACAAAGGAAACCTAGAGTCCCAACTAGGCTGAAGGACGATGGACATATGAATAAACTTTGTCATCAATGTAGTAACATTACCTACAGCTAGTTTAAAGGAATTAATACGACCAGCAAGAGCGGACAGTTCCCTGGCGGTGCAACAATTAGCCTCTAAAAGGGAATCAATGAGCTTTATCCCCGGAACAAAAAGCAAACCCTGAAAAAGATCAATGGTGAAACCCAACCAATCAAGGACTGATGTAGGAACCCAAACAGATTTCTCGAAGTTGGGTACAAAGCCAGAACGAACCAAATCAGTCTTAACCCTGGTGGAATGGGCTAAAGCAACCTGATATGAAGGCCCCTCCCCTAAACCATCATCAAGATAAACAACAATGTGAATACCATCCCGCCTCCAGTAGGCAACGAGAGGCCTAAAAATTTTAGTGAAAACAAAAGGGGCTGAACAGAGGCCGAAGGGCAGGACCCTAAAACAAAAATAACGGACCTTACCCTGATAATACCAGGAAAAACCCAAAAATGTCTGGTGGGGCGGGAAGATAAGCACATGCTGATAACCGCTCTTAATGTCAAATGAAAACATGAAATGACCCTTGTCAAAATAATTTAGAGCAACCTTAAGATCCTCAAACTTGACCTTTTGCTTCCAGACATGCTTATTTACAAACCTAAGATCCAAAATCAACCTCTTTTTCCCAGATGACTGAATAGAAACGGAAAGAGGGTTGACGTTATGGGGCAGCACCTCCGATTCAAAAATGCGATTGGTAACCAACAATTCGGAAATAGCTTCGTAAACAAAATCAGAATGAGCCAAAGCTGACTTATTATTACTAGAAAAACTAACAGGGGGTGTAGAGTGGAAAGGAATACGATAACCATGCTCGATAACATCTAGAATAAATTGACTGGCACCTATAGAACGCCAAAACTGAATATGGGATTTAAGGTGGCTCGACTGGATTTTTTTAGGGCGATACCTCCCAAGTTTGAGCCTTAACTACGTCGGCATGAGTAAAGATATCGAAAAAAGGTTACCACAACTGTATTACATAAAGATGAAAATTTCTTATGATCTGGGTTTTATTGCAATCGGAGTCGCCATGGCAACGTAATGACGCCATTACGTTTTTCATTTATCCTTGTGTTTCTCTGTACCAGGAGTTTTTTGAAGAAATCGCTTAAGGGAGTATGTACCTGCCATAATTGCCTCCATTATGGCAAAGTTTAAAGAAATTCTATGAGAGCGTTTTCGAAATACATTACAACTGTCAAAACCTTATATACCTAATAACAATAGAGTCAATTAACGCCATAACGGCTCACGTGCGTTCATACCAATAGGAAAGTATTTACATTCTCTGTCACTGCCACTACGTTTAGCTCCGCCGAATGTAAATACATTTCTTTGCACCCTGATATATCTGTATATATATCTATATCTAGGATTTTGATCTTTTTTGGAGCGTTTTCTTGTTTGTTTTGTTGTTGTTGTTGTTGTTTTTCTGGTTCACGTATGGACCACTCCTTCCACCTATTTGTACCTATCTCCTCAAAATTTCAAGTTACAAAGGCCGTGCAATAAAGAACAACACCTCTATTTAGAAAGGTGGCAGCCATAAAAGCTCGTTAGAGTTTAGAGTCTTCGCACTCTACTAAATCTTTCATCCTTAGCAGCATTATCTTTTTCACTTCTTCAATCCCACATTTCAATTCTTGTTCGCCATCATTGTTCAAGCGAGTTTTGATCCCTGCTAAAATTGCATCTTTGTTGTTCAGTCGAGCGCAGATCACAAATGGAAACCCGAACTTCTCCTTGTAAAGCTTGTTGTACTGCTTCAATTGTTTTATTTCCTCGGGGCTAAGTGTAGTAATTCCAGCTTGCGTCTGCTCTCTTTGAGATTCGGGTGTTAATGATTCCAAACGATCCGCCAGGTCGGGGTGGCTTCGCAAAATTTCAGCTCTACTATCCTCCGGAAGGTCGTCAATAAATTGACGTATGGCTCCGACAAAGCTATCAAAGGACGCAAAAGGCCTTGCAGAATATACCCCGGCTGCGCATGAGGGAGTCTTCTCGACAACATTGCCAAACTTCTTCAAAAAATCGTCATAGTTTAGTGCGTTTACAGCGGAAATGCTGAATTTGGACGCCATTTTTAACTGATACGACCAAATACGCTTACACGACGGCCTATCCTATGTAGCACGCTGACATGCAGGCTCAAGATTGGAGAAAATCGCCAAAAAAAAAGAACAAAGAAATTATGGCGATTCACGCACACTTTACCGTTACAGATTTCATTGTATTTTCGTTAACCTTGTTAGCCTCTATGGGTATTGGAATTTTCTATTCTAGATCCGGAGGAGCACAACAAAATAATAACGAATATCTTATGGCGGGACGAAGTATGTCTAGTCTTCCTGTAGCGGTATCTGTTCTGGCTTCTTTCGTGTCCTCCATCGCTATTCTGGGAAATCCAGCTGAGGTGTACACGTATGGTTTTCAGTACTGGTTTCAATGTTTTACGAACTTTATATCTGTGCCCATCATGGCACTGGTTTTTTTACCCGTTTATTACAATCTCCAATTGACAAGCAGTTACGAGGTGAGTGAACCGCCGGTCGTATCAGCATAAAACAGTAAATATGTTTACATGTCGTGGCCACATATTTCACCAGTCAAGGTCAGTAAATATGTATTTTGCTTTTGTACCATATATAAAGCTAAGGCACAGAACCTTTCTTACCCACATATTAGACTATTTGTGCCACTTTTGTATTTTAACAAAAAGTACAGCGCTGCGTATTGAGGGATCAATAATCGTGAAAGCTCGTGGGACATGACCTGTAAAATAAAACCAACGGATGTTACATAATCGAATCAGATAATCGATGCCCATGCAGTAAGCCAACGCTATATTAAAGCACGTTTCTCTTTCTCGTCCCGTGAGGCTTCTTTTTATTTGAAATTGGTTTTGATATATTGTATATACGTATACAAATGGTACTGTTTGCAAGTTAAAACAGCGTAAATTGCACCCTCTTCATTCATCTGATGATCTATCCTAAATAATTATGACATTTGTGTTGTCACCTGAATCGATTTAAGTTCATTGTTCTCCTTAGAGGCTTTAAATAATTTGAAATGGTTATGATATGATGTATTTTATAATTTTGATTATACAAATAATGAACGGTTTCGTTAGGTAAACAAGAACAAATTGGTCCCTGATCTTAACCTTATTATTTATGACATTTGTGTAGTCATCTAAATGAATTGAGGTGTCTCAGAAAGGACTATGGAGTAAAAAAGAACTTTTTTGTTATATTTGTTGTGTACTCTAACTTCTGGCAGGGCTGGGGGAGGGGGGGTGGGGTAGAGGGGAGTGGGTGGAGGGGGTTATCACTACAGTGGTCTAAATGGGTGGGCTCCACCCAAAAGTGGTACCTTTTTCAGGTATGGATTTCACAAGTTGTAGTATATGAAAGGGAAGGGAAATCTGTGATTTAGTTATTTAAATTATATAATTTATGGCATCAAAGCATTAAAGAATACATGAAACAGGAACTCCTTTCCTTTAGAACAGGTGGAAAAAACTTTTATCTCTGTATGAATTAACTATTGTACAAAGATTTATAATTTGTACTCTAACTTACCAGTATAATATAGCATTTTGAATTCTAATAATACTTGTCTGGTTAATTTTCCAGTATTTAGAGAGAAGATTCTCCTTCAGTGTGCGTATGTTAGGCTCTGTAGTGTTTGTCATTCAAACAGTAAGTACATGCATAGCGAGGATTTGTTGATTTTAGAGTAAAAGAATGTCTTAAAAGATTCAGATTTTCTCTTTTACTTAGAGGTAGTCTCTCTTCCATCACACCTGATGTGCTAAGAATGATAAATTGGACATGAAGTAATAGTTTTGACAATATATTTCTTTGAACAAATTCTAAATCATTTTGTTGAATTAACAGGTGTTATACACAGCTATCGTATTGTATGGCCCTTCTCTTACATTGGAATCAGGTAAGCATTGAAGATAAACTGTTGCTGAGCTTCAATGCATATTGATTGGTTAATTGGTGGATTGATTGATTGATTGATTGATTGATTGACATTGAGAGATGATATACTTTTTTGTTCTCTGGCTTGAATTGTGCTGCAAACCTATCAAAACAGCACTTTGAAATAAGTTACTTATTTATTGTAGTTTACCAGGAGGAACAAAAAGCAACATTTTAACCTTACAACTGAAGCTGTTAGTCAAACATAGTCAAACATCCTATAATGGACTCTCCTTTACTATGGACAGTTCTTTTGGTGGCAAAGATGCCATAACTCATACACCTCTGACCTCTGTGATTAAAGACACCTCAAAAATGCAGTTACTTTGCTGTCTCTCTTTGGTATCCAAGTTACTGGTCAAAATTAAATTCAGTTTAAAAAATTTTTAACCGTGGTTGATTCTAAATATCCTTTGTCTTCTAGCCCTAATTTTCTATGAAGTAGGGAAACCTAGGATAAAAAAAGTTTAACCCGAATAATAATTATTTATACTTTTGACCTGTAACAACCATATTAAGGAGATTTCACGGTTTAAATGTAATTTACTGCTTAAAGTGTTAATTCGTGACTTTTATTAATATTATTTCTCTGTCTTTAGTGACAGGCTTCCCATTATGGTTATCCACAGTCGTAACTGGACTTGTCTGCACTTTCTACACCACTGTGGTAAATAATTCAAAAACGCATTAAAAATAGCTGTAGCAAAATAGCTGTACTGTATATGTTCAGCTTTAGACGTTCACAGTGTACTTACAAATGCAAGGTTAGCACAGATGACCGAATTATTTGCAAAAATGTATTTAAAAAAAGTTCAGTTTAAGATAACTTTGTTTTAATCTCTAGGTGTTGATGTCTCTTTTTATCTTACTTGATTATATTTATTTCATTTGAAAATGATAGTTTTTAATTTTTTCAGGGTGGAATGAAAGCCGTAATTTGGACTGATGTGTTTCAAGGAGTTGTGATGTTAGCTGGTCTAACAACAATCATTATAGTTGGAACTGTAAAGGTTGGCAGTCTAAGTGCTGTGTTTGATACAGCTTACAAGGGACACAGACTTGATGTTGAGTAAGTTTGATAACACAATTAAATTACATGTACAAATTCTGTGATGTTATTTTTTTAGGCTCCGTGTGCCTGTCTCTGGGAAAGTTGAAAATGTAATCTAGATTGTGTGTGTTTGCAGTTTCTCATTAGATCCAACCCACCGAAGTACTTTCTGGGCATTTTTGATTGGTGGTATATTTCAGATGCTTCCTGTTTATGCAACCAATCAGACTGCTGTCCAAAGATTTTTGACTTCCAGATCTTTTAAATCTGCACAAAGGTAAATTTCCCTGTTGATAGAATGAATCGATATAAATAATAAATATTATTTTTGTTGTAATAATTTACAGGAACAAGAAGTCTGTGTGTAAATTCAGATGTATTTCAGCTGTCTTCGACCTCTCTCTCTCTCTCTTTTTAGTATAGGGAGGCAACAGTCAGAGATACATAAGATGCACTTATAGGCGAAAACAAGGTGTACACAGCCTGCAGTTAATGTTGTTATGGTCAAAATTTGTGTGTCCTTAACAGTAGGGAATTTTTTAATTTTTTTTTAGAGCTGTGTGGATGAATATACCACTTAACATTTTCAGCACAACTCTGACAGTTTTAACAGGCCTAGTCATCTATGCATTTTATTCCTCATGTGACCCTCTAACCACAAAGGAAATAAACACAGATGATGAGGTACAGTTTAGTCATGATTACTCTTGAAAATAATTTATAATAGCAATAATAAATTAACAAGCATTTTGCTTGACTCAGTCATGTGATTGTATAGAATTGTTTACCAGGGCTGAGTTGCTCAAAGCATGGTTAGCTTTAACCATTGGTTAAGCAGTATCAAAACCATTACGTTGTCAAGGTATTAAACGCTGGTTAACGCTAACCATGCTTCGAGCAACTGGGCCCAAGGTGTTATGTCATTAGTACTTACAGGTATCACATGACTGTTTTCGCTTTAGATCTTACCATACTTTGTGATAGAAGTACTTGGCAAATTTCATGGTATTCCTGGAGTGTTTGTAGCCTGCTTGTTTTGTGGTACCTTGAGGTGATCTATAAGTTTGTTGTTAGCACAGATAATTTTCTCATCTCTCATTGGCATTATAAATGCCCTGGCCTTGATATTTTTCATTCATTTTTGTGTCCTTTTTCATTTACTCAGTACTGTGGCATCAGGACTTAATGCCCTGGCAGCAGTCACAGTGGAAGACTTTGCTCCTTTGGTGGTGCGACATATTCCAACTGAAAGAGAAACATTAGTATCCAAGTTACTAGGTATGTAATAGGCATATTTCAATATTGTGATAATTTATCTGTTTCATGCCACTGGGATCAATGGCCAAAACTTAAGACCAAGTGACATAATTGCAGAGAATGTTTCATTTCACTGGTCACACCATAGGATTTCATCTTAAACTTAAAAGTTAAAACTATCATTTCAATTTCACTGAATTGACAAATGATTGAATTAGCTAGAGTGGCTGATAACACCATCCACATGCTAGAATACAAATGTCCAAAAAGGCATCTTTGGGTGTGCAGCTTATTGGTTTTAGGAACAAGATAAGTTTTTCGTGACCTACAGAACAGGCATTACTCTTTTGCTGCACAAATCTCCACTTTCTTTCTCCAAGACTTTTTTAATCACTGATTTAATAAACATTTCATCTCAGTTCCCCTAGCCCTTTTTACAGTCATTTCTTTTAATGTACAAATATATTTTCAGTGTGTGTTTATGGATTTGTTTCTCTTGGCTTGGCTTTTCTGGTCTCAAAATTTGGAATGATTTTACAGGTAAGCTCTAAAATTGCATAGCAGCAGGTGTAAATAATTTTGCAGGCCTGCAAAAAAAATGTCAGTCAATAGACATAAAAATTATTGAAATAAACTTTAGTTAAATTGGCAAAAAATGAATGTTAACCTCATAATAGCTTGTAGACTTGAACTGTGTTTGGGAGTAGGATATCAAAAGTTAGGGTGACATATCCACCTTAAGCTAAGATGTATTTAAGTATTGTCTCCAAAACATTGTCCATTGTTAATAAACAATACTTATCAGATATCCTGATGTAAGAAATGTGCATAAATTTGGAAGGTCACTAAGGTCAGTCGAAGAGTCAAAAGTGTACCCCACCCTTCTAAAGAGAAGTTTTGTAATTAGAGATAACTATGGACATTATCTGTTGTAAAACTTGCTCATTCAATCTCCCAGGCTTGTGATATAACTTACCCTCCTTTATAGAGTTCTGCTAGTTTCTAGTTCCACCAGCTAAAATTTTTTTTCTAAGAGGTTTGGATGCCTGTTGATTTGCTGGAACTTGATAACATAATTATTCATCTCGGTTTTTCTTTTTATTGTTTGCAGATGAGTGCTACCATGTTTGGTACTACAGGTGGCCCAATGTTGGCTCTATTTTCTCTTGGAATGTTAACAACCCGTGCTAATTCTAAGGGTGTGTGGATTGGAGTTGTTATTGGCTTTTGGACTGTCACATGGATCAGTATAGGAGCGCTAGTGCATCCTCCTAGATACCCAACACAACCCATGTCAATAACAGGCTGCCCAAGCAATGTAACAAACTTCAATATGTCATCACTAAACCCTGCAAGATCGTATGTTTCCTTGTGCATTAATTTTAACTAAAGTTAAAAGATGGTTCTTTTTGGTTTTGAATGATTAAATAAATTTTATCTTTTAACCCATTATAAGAGTGATCAGCATCAATTTTCTCCTTGTAATATCAATGCTTTGTAAAACAGAGTGGTCATGAGAATTACTGACATGATCTCGCAAGATGAATTTCCTTGATATTTTATGAACTTCTCCCCACTACTTCTGTAGGAAATGAATAGGGGCAACAAATGAGAATTCAGTTCTTGATCTTAGGGGTTAAAGGGTTAATTGCCAGCAGCATGCAAGAGCAATAATATTATCCACTGAAAAATTGTGCAAGAGAAAAAGCCCCATTAGGGGCTGATCACTCATCTTTCTTTTACTACCATTAAGGGATTTTTGCAACACATTATTAATAGTTTGTCCAGCACTGTGATCTTTACTGTCCTTTTCAGAAACTTAGCGTAGAGGTAACACCTTTAACAAAGCTCCAAAACACAAAACAAAACTGTCTGTAATAGAAACACAACCATATTAAATACTGTAATGCCATATAAGCACACACCTGTAACAGAGATTGACCTTGTAAACAAGTTGTTTATTTACCATTTTACCCTCAGTGTTGAGCCTCATTCTGTTTATGCCATCTCGTTCTTCTGGTATGGAATTCTTGGATTTTTCATCACTTATATCATTGGTTATTTTGCCAGTCTTATATTCAGTGAGTATCTCAGAAGTATCACGTTGGTTTGTGCTACGCAGTGGAACCTTGATATACGAACCACCTTAGCCCTTCTTTATATCGAGGTTCCACTGTATTACTTATACTTAATAATATTGTTTCACCAGCTCAGTCAGAAGTTATCATGAAGAGTCAAGTTTTCTCAGGTTGTCTAACTTTCAATCTGTCACCAAACTGAACTCACCTACAATCAGGGAAAGCAGATGTATTTCCTGCTGTCACCTCTGATGACCAGAAATATGTCTGCCTCCACAAGCTACACTCTCCCAGACAGTAACCATTTAGTTTTTCTTTACAGCAAAACATGAAACACACAGCATAGACCCTGCCTTGCTGTTTGACTATGGTACAATAACAGCTTGCTGGAGGCGATTAAAGAGAGGTGGCATCAGCTCCCCTGGGGTAATTATCTTTTTTTATTTCATTACTATTGTTCATACTGCCCATTTATATACCAAGGTGAAATAGTGAATGTTTTGTTAAACTGGAAGTGCACCTGGCTACCCTAGCCTGTTTACAGGCACACCACTCAAATATTTTGAAACAGATAACACAAATAAGACCTAACGACATTAAAAACGGTTACCCTAACTGGCAGAAGGTAACCAGTTGGCTATTTTCAAGTATGGGTGGGGATCGGATTTTGGAACCCAGTGGGTGGAGCAGGACTCAAACGCAGGACTGCCAGTTTGTGGGTTCAACATGGTGACCACTTGGCCATGCTGTCTCCTCCTTGTAACTGAATCAGGGATCAAGTTTTCTCAAAAGACTCTGCAGTTTTAATTAAACTCCTTTTCCTCACCTATTTTGTCCCATTTACAGAAAGAACAAGAACAGAGCCCACAGGCTATGACTGACTGAATGACTGACAGGAGACTGTAGAGCAAATGACTGGCAAGAGTGACAGACAGACTCACCAACATACCCAGACAATAACTGAGCACCCTTTCACAGCAGAAACATTATAATCATACCCAGACTTTGCCAACGTCACTTGATTATTAACACCCCATGATAGTTTCCATCTGAACAAAAGCTACTATTTTGTTTAAAACCCTGTTAATTCCTTCTTTAATCGACCAACAACCACCTTTTGACTATAATGACAAATGTACATAATTATGAAATTTTCGTTATGCTCTGCTTCTCATTCATTGACCCTGTTTTGTTAGCTTTATACCTAAAGTTGAGAGTAACTGGAAACTGTATGAACACATTTGCAAGAAAGCTGTATTGCCCTTTGTCATTTTTCTTTCAGTTTAAGATTTTTCAACCAACCAAGATTCTGACAATCAGGAGCTTTTCAAACTTGATAAAACTAAGCATAAGAAGTTAACTGCTATGAAATTTAACATTTTCTAATCCCACCATTATCACTTTTTCCATGATAACAGTATTCATTCCCACTACAAGACTTAAATCAGGTCAGTGCTCACTTAAAATAGGGACATCAAAATTTATCAAGAACACTACACTATTTTTTTAGATTTACAGTATCACAGGATGATAATGCACTCAGTCAACCCTTAACTCAAAGATTTCATCTTTTTGACAACTCAATACAAAATTGAGCACTTGAAAGTCAAAAAGGGACAAATTTTCTGGCTGTTGCACAACTATAGCATCCAGCAGTATTTGGCAGGGGGGTGGGCACATATCCTGAAGAGTGACTGGTAATCAAGTCTATCAGTAAGGCAGGAAGATTTTACTATGGCAAAAAATGGCAACACAAAAGTTTTGAATTTTTTGCTGGAGTGTTAAATGCAGTTTAACATAATTTAACGTCATTAACAACAACTGAAGGAGTACCATCTCACATCTCATCCCCCCCCTTCTCAGACATGCATTTCCACCAGCTGACACAGTTATATAATAACAATATAAACCCCTGCAAACTACACACACACCACCTGTCTGCTCTTGTGTCTCCAAGGACAACAATAAATTTTTTGGATATTAGCATAAGATGGTGAATTAAATCTAACATATTCTGGAGAGTATGAGATTGTTGTTGTGTTGGTTGTAGGAGTGTGCCCCGTTTATCACAAATGAAGAAGATGACAGTGTTCAAGAAAGCTAAACAAAGAAAAGACAGTAAACGCTAGGAATGAGTTTATGAAAAATATGCTAAAGTAAAGTTTATATCATACACTGTAATGTCAGAGAGGAGCTATTGGTTCTTTGTATAGTGAAAACAAGTTAAAATTAAAACTTAATTATAAAGAAAAAAAAAATGGAGATGATAAACCAACTAGAACTTAAAGCAGGGTTCATACAAAAAATTGCAACCATTTTTCAAGGACTTTTCAAGGACTTTTCAAGGACCACATTAGATTTTCAAGGACAACCTACTAGGAATATAATTTCACAGATTGTACAAAAATGCATATTCCCAGTATTCTAATAAGACTTTAAGGCTTTAACTGTTTGCTTTACCAACTATTCTACATTTTTCAGTTCACTTGTCTTAAACTGATAGTTAATTATTGCATAAAACATGGAGCACTTTATGTAAATGACCTTTACATTCACTGAGCTACGATTTATATTCTGTCTTGGACAACCAAAAAGCATCAAAAAATTCTTTCGAGGCTACTACATTCAAAGTTGAAGAAAATTCAACTCTTTTCAAGGACTTGCACAGAAATTTAAGGACTTTTCAAGGAAAAATGGAATTCAAGGACTTTTCAAGGACTTCCCCTAAAATTCAAGGACTTTTCAAGACTGTGCGAACCCTGTAAAGTTTATATAAAGTTTATTTTATGTGTGTTTTAACAACGTTTTGAAATCGTGTAGTTGTATAGTAACATTTTTATTCTAAGTCTTTCTTTGTGCATATTATCAGACGTGATGTCACTAACTCAGTATGCAATTTTCAAGTTGCCCCAAACGTCTTTTTTAAAACAATGCCTAGAGCAAAATCTTTGATCTGAAAAATAATAGTTTTCAATTCTCATTCAAATAAACTCATTCTCGCATGAAAGGTTTTGCACTAGGCCTTATTTTGAAAATGAGGATCTTTGGTACTCCGAAGGCTTTCCCTGGCCTACAGGCCCCTGTTCATTAGCATTATTAGGCCCGGGGTTGAGTCTACATGAAATTGTGAGTAAACAGAGTTTAGAGAAATCTCGCCTGAGAAAACAGCGGACATTATGCAATGCCACCAATGGTTTTCACGCAAAAATGAAGTCTGAGAAACGAACGCAGAAAATTACATACTGATGACGCATCACTAACCAGATCTAGGTAGTACTTCCGATTGGTCATGCCATGTGGGAAATTTGCTTCAACCAATCAGAAGTACTACTCAGATCTGGGTAGTGATGCGTTATCAGTATAGAATTTCTGCGCTTGTTTCTCATTTTGAGTGGAAACCAGTGGTGGAATTGCAAAATGCTGGCTGTTTTCTCAAGCTAGGAGAAATCCAGATGCACACATCATTTCCTTATCAGCCTATACATTGTATATGCACTTTCAGATGTACAGTATTATTTTATTCATACGACCGTGAAATTGTTTTTATATAGACATGTATTTTATTTCATGTACATGGTTACAGTCATTTTTTCTGGCTTACAACATGCATGCGCAAGTGGAAAATCAGAGACTAGGTGGGCAATACACTATTACTATTGGGAAGATTTAGCAATGATAATGCAACATTAAATGAGAACAACAAACGTCCGTTTCTCAATTTGCCGTTCTGCAATTGGTTGTTAGTTTTTAAGACTTCCATACACCTCTGTCACTTTTATCGCATTATCTTTGCTAAATCGGTACAGTTTATAGAAGATAGTCGCAGTAAGAACCTGTGTGGTACATGAACATGGTTCAAGCAAGCAGGCACTCAGCTTTGTGCTATGAGCATTCTGGTAACTGTTCATAGTGCAGCTTAGAGTGCCTGTTTTAATCCTAAGAAAAGAACTTGAGTCTTAAATAAATGAAGAGGGTCAATGAAGCCCAAGTTTGTATTCCATTGTAAGATGTGGATCAGACATAACCTCAGAATCGCCATGAACTGAAACACAGGAAAACATTACTATTTACAAATTGACTTTCATAAACAGATAATAATATTATGACCTTGTTCACTGACAGCCATAAATCGGTCAGGGTTAGGGTTAGAAAACTTGTACTAATTTATATGCCTTAGCAAGGCTGTGCCTTCCCCTTTCAGATAATTTCATTGATATTCTATGAAATGGACCACCTGTTTGTAAAATAGCTTTTCAGCCAGGTGTTAATTAATGTTAATAAACTGAGGTTTTTTGATCAAATACATTGTTAGTCTATGCAATGTACAGTGGTGCGTTGTTTAATATTGTCATAAAAATGGGTTTCAAACATCTTGTCTAATAGTTTCTGTGATGTGACCAATCAAGAGAAAGGCACTGAGCAGTACTTTCCTGTCATAATGCTTGCTAGGCCTTTAAAAGTCTGGTTTTCACTAGCACATAAGCATAAGCACAAGCACATGTGTAAGCAAGTGAAAACTGGGTGGACATAGGCATAAGCATAAGCACAAGAAAAACAGACAAGTTTTTCTTCTGCTGCTTGTGCGTATGCTTATGTTGTAGCTTTGACGAGTGAAAACTGGGTCGACATAAGCACAAGCACAAGGCCGTGGACCAATCATGGGTCACTTTGACCCAGACCTCATGCGAACATATCAAGAGCAATATAGTGTCTGCCAACTTGTTTATCATCGGGTTGAGGAGAGCTGGTATCAAGAATTGAGTCAAATACGCCATTCTGCGTGTGTGTACGTCCTATGCTTATGCTTATGCGCTAGTGAAAACCAGGCTAAAGGAATCATTAAATTTTTCTCAAGTGTGACTGTTTAAATATGAATCAGATAGCTGCTGAGTAGCACTGTCTACAAATTCTATAAAAAGTGATTACAGTATATGAAAAACCATTTTGAGGGTAAAAAAATATTGCAGTTTGTTGGGGAAGGTCTTAAAAACAATCTTACTGTAATATCTAAAATTACCGTTCAAGAAGTCTTCAAAGCCTAAACTCTCATCTATACCCATTAGAGTATCTAAAGCAACCATTGAACTTGGCAGACATGGTAACCGTTGAATCTGTAAGTTTACAAGGTGTTGACAGAATTAAGAAAAAATCATTATATTTCTCAGTATGCTAACCTTCCTACCATTTGAAAAAGTTTTGACAAAAATCAATTGCTTGGTTCAGAAGAAATGACTTTTCAACAAAATAAATAAAAAGATCAGTTTCATCTCTTTCCAATTAATGTGGCCTTGCAATTGAAAATGAGACATGAGGAATCATGGAATGCAAACTTGAGAAGACAGACCAATTATTTTCAGTGAAATACAATAAAAAAAGCTGTCTTGAAGAAGTAATTTTCATTTACCTTGGACGCAACACTGCGTTCCATCTGTAGTTTCAATGGAGCTTGAAGTCCTTGAGTGTTCCTGAGCATCTTAAAGTCAAGCATCTCTTGGTTTTGCAAAAACTTTGAAATCAAAACAGAAAACTAATTCATCTAAACAAATTCAATAATAATAATAATAATAAACAGTGAATCCTGTGCATGATCAAAACATCTTTGAGAGGAAAGTCGAATGTTGAGAAGAGTGTAGGCACTGAATATTGTAAAATAATTATATCTTCCAGGTCGCCAGGTAGGTATACCAGTTAAGTAATACCCTTGAGAAAGTTTAAATCAAACATTGGTGGCTTACATTTTTCTCAGTGGCTTCCAGAGGGTGACTTGAGGTTAACCCACTTCTGACATTTGAGAACCTAAAAAAGTAATTGAATAAAGAAAAGTGTCAAAGAAACAACAGCAACACTGACAAGTATTTCAAAAACACCCTGCACATCTATATCAAATCTCAGTGTGAATATATCCCAACCAAGTTTTTGACACTCTGGTTGGAGTTCTATACCGCTGTTACACAAATTAAATCTTCTAGCACTATTTTTCCAAGTACAATTTTAAAAAAAACACTAACAAGAAATTTGAGATTTTCTTCTACTTGCCTTTTTATTTTTAACATTCTTGGAAGTTAAAGAAAGTTGAAGTTGAAATGTTGATAAAATTTAAATATGTCCTCCTGTTATAATTTCAAACAAACACTGGATGGAAAAAGGCAATGATGGTTTTTAAAATTTAACCTATGTCAGGGGCATATGAAATGGAAAATCAGACATTTTTTGTTTGTTAGTTAGTTTTATTTTTTTTCTTACTGTTACCAGAATTGCATGTCGCGCATTCTCAAACCTTACCCTGTTCTCATGTGGTCAGGTACACCATAATTACCCACTGATGACCTCACTTCAGTTGCAGGCTGGACTTTACTTGGCAGTGCAGACTGGAATAAGTAATGATGTACATGTTACTGGTTTACATTGACCAAGAATAAGTAGGCCTTAACATTGATTGACATATGAAACATGACTGTCAGTTGGTTTTTTTCTTTCCTTCTTCCACTAACCCAGTTTTTCGTCGACAGCTACAGACGCACTATAAAGAATCGAGTCATAGGGAGGGATCAAAACCGCATAGTTCCAATGGAAAATTTTAAAAAAATGCTATTACGATTTCTGAAAGGAGGTTGTATCTTAAAGATCGCTATTTCCATCTTTTTGTTCACGGTTTCACAGAACAGTCTGCCGCACATGACACTGCAAAATCACAACTGTGAGCGAAAGCATGATGGACCAAGGCTTTGTAAACATGCTTAGCTATAAGATTAGTCAAAAACCGCTCTTTGCCTTTAAAGATATCTTTAAAACACATTAGGATGAGTGACGGAAAAAGAAAAGGCAATGTCGGCTTGTTGAACTGACTCAAAAAGATACTCACCAAGTCGGCCATTTTGATTATTGCTTAAGAATACGCATGCGCAAAATTACTGCAAGACGACCGCAGTTCACAACGACCGCAGGACAGGGCACCTTCACTTGTAGAGCCCAGTGGGTCTGGGTACAAGCATGATTAACTTTATATTTACTGGACCGCGGATTAATAGCGTAGCTGTAAAAGCTAATTTCTCCGAGAAAGAAAAAAAAACTGATATAAAAATAATAGTCATAATAATCCTAAATGAATTAGGGAAGTCACGCAGGGATGGGGACCAGGGAACGAGTCGCTAGTGATATTAAATCTTTTCTAGTGGAACATCTATTTAGGGGCCAACCTCGTTCCCAGGGTCTCTCATCTTCCCGCCCAAGCGAGAGAGGAGAGACTCTCCTCTCTCGCTTGGGCGGGAAGATAAGAGACCCTGGGAACGAGGTTGTTTAGGGGCCACCCTTGGGACCAAGGCAAGTGTCCCTTGAATAGAGGTGCCCTGGCCCTGAATGGAAATTAGGCTTGGAGTTTGTTAATAATCAACCAACAAATTAAATTCTTTTCTTTTTCAGTGTATTATGCCTCGGAATCCGCTGCAGTCACTGAGCAAGATAATGTCTAAAAATTCATGATTAACTTATTTTTCTGTGATATTATGTGTTGAACTTCCACAAGTGCAGTACATCGATTTAAGTGAGATAGTTCTTGTTGTGAAAGCTGTCGCCACTGTGACCGGTGTACACTTAAACTTATAAATGCTTTTTGTGGCTAGTCACTTTTAAAGGGAACCTCCACTTCAACAAAAAGATAACTTTAAATCACAGGAAATAACTGTTACAGTCAAGTCAATCTAAAATATTTTTAAAGAAAGCGTTTGTATCTGAAAGAAATAACTTTTAGATTCGCCTATTTTTGTTTTCAAATTTTGCGGGCGTCGCCATCTTGAATAATTGTGAAGTGTTACGGTTGCCCTATTGTTATTAAACAAAAGCTCTTTGTGTCAGAACAATAGGGCAACCATAACACGTCACAATTATTCAAGATGGCGGCGCCCGCGAAATTTGAAAGTGAAAATAAGCGATTCTAAAATTCACTTTTCCTGATATAAACACTTTTTTAAGGACAAATTTCGAACAAATTTGTTTATCAACATAATTTTATTCGATTTAAACTTATTCTGTAGTAAGAGTGGAGGTTCCCTTTAAGCACCTCTTTTTTATTTTTTTTTTTATCCTTTACAATACTTTCCTAACTGCGTTTTACATAGTGGACATATATGGACCACATCCATGACGGACTTCACGAAGAAAGGTAGTAAGCAGCACCCCAAATGGCATCCAAAAGCACACAACAGCCCTGCTAGCGCCCAGTTCACGTTGCTCGCGCGATATTCAATGCATGTGATGACCTGGATGCCACATGAAGTGCAGTTCACCGTGGCAGGAACATCTTGAAGTTTGGCTGTTGGTTGAGCATCCACGATCCTACACTGACAGGATTCTCGATAACTGCTGTTGACAGTTGACACTGAACTTGAGGGCAAGCAAATTACTTCAGGTGATAACCTGCTGTGGACGTTGGACGCAGACTTCACGACACATTCTTTTGTGCTTCTAGAATGACGAGTCACACCTGAAAAAACTTTGTCGATGTCATGGGAGAGACCGAAGTAAGAGACACTTGAACTTTCGGAAACAAAGTCTTCCCTTTGAAGATAACTGGTTGACTCTTCTTCGGATTCTGTAATGGGTGAAAAATTAAAGCAATAATGCTGTTAACATTGAACGCGTGACTACAGCATAGCACTGCTTTGAAGAAATGGGAGTGTTCACAATGTGAGAATGATGCTTATTTTCGCAATATGCTTTTAAACTTCAAGATTAAGCACTGAGAATGAAGTGTACTAGTGGTCGCGTCCATAAATTTTAGTAATAAGGGCCGAACAAGGTCCAGCAATGGCCATCATAGGAAGCACTCTTCCACCCCCCTTCAGGGGCACCCAACGGCAATTTTCGGGAAAATATCTGTTCGGAAGACGATTTAAGATCTAGAATTTTCGGAGCGTTTGTTATAAAATTTCTTGCTTGCCTGCCTCTCCTAGGATTTTCGAACATATACAAAATGGTATAATTACCCATTTTTAACGGATTTTGACCCTAAAAAAGGCCACCTAGAATTTTCGGGAGCCTTTTCCTGGCTGAAGTTTTCGAGAAGGTAAGTTTTTATCCCTATAATTTTCGGATCACTAGACTTTCAGCTAGGAAATCCGAACAGATGAAAAGTTTTTAGGGGATAAAAATATGCCTATATCTACCGTTTGAATACTCAAATACGTTCAACAATGCTATGTTAAGTGGTTTTGAACTATATCCTCGTTGGGTGCCCCTGCCCCTTCTCTTTAGTCCAGAGAGCAAAGGCAATATCAGGTGACCAACATACAAACCTACTGCAGTATTAGTTTACCATATCAGACATGTTTACTAAGGTACAAACCCAAGCTCGCCAGCTGCCACGGATGCCACTGAAGTTTTGAAATAATGATTAAGTGATCATATGAAAGTTTTTGATCTCAGTATTACATGTTTTTAGGTGAAAGTTTTGTAGCTGAATTCTTAGGGACTCCTTTGTCATGTCAGCTACGTTAAAAAAAAGGAATTACTATCACGTCGCATCAAAACATTATTTGGTCGCTCTGCAGATACGGCCAAGATTGAATAGGCCAAATGGTACGATTCTTAACTTGCGAAGGCGTTCTCGTCAGTAACATCACAACGTAACAACATTGAAATAGCCTAACGAATGCCTGTTTCTCGTCAACCTCAACAGAGACCCACACTACCTCCTTAATTTTTTTCATGCTCCCGTATAGTTTTCCCGTATCCAAGATTCAGCTGATCTCGTTTCATGCTTCGTCACTCCAAAACAATCGAAAGAGCTACATCAGTATGGCTGAAGGTGGTTTTTCCAGAAGCAATTGTACTGAAGTTTGATTTTCTTTTTCAAGCCTTCTAACTCAAATAACTAATATCCATTAATAGCGTGGGGACATTCCCTGTCTGAAGCTACTGAAAAGCTAATTAATCGCGCTTAGTACAAACTTGCCTGTTGCTGTTTGTTTTTTTTTTTTTCACTGACATATTTACTTCAGCATAAATTAACCGTAATTATCACTTACAGACGGTTTCTTACCATCAAATGACTGTATCCGAAGCTTTTGCATTTCGCTTAAAGTGTGTAAGCCACTAATCTGAGAAAAATCTCAAGTAGCGACCCGGCAAAAAAATTGAAAAAAGATTCGCAAGGAAATTTTTACTTGAATACGCAGGAGGAGTTGCGAGGCCGGACGGTCTCATTTGAATGGCAAAGAGATTAACTTCCTGATTGGCCACTGATAACTTTGCGGATACCGCTAATATGTAAATTTCTTAACACACAATTCTGGATAAGTGTTTATAATCATATGATAATAACAATATATTATGAAATAAATATAATTAAGGGCGGGGGCATTCACAGGAAAGTCCTTATCAGCAGAGAAAGCTAAAGAAAAGAGGTTCATGACACTTTTACGGTGAAGAAATATTTCATATGTGTGCTAATGAACATGCAAAAATAGACCAAGGGAAAAAAGTTTGCACCAGCCGGGCTTAAAAAAAAAAAGTAAAGGAGAGACCCATAAAATTAGGCACAAAAATTTTCTACTCCAACCTACAGAATTCCTTGCGCGGTCGTTTTTATCATATCGCGATAGTCTCATGTCCGAATAATAATTATTCAGAGCACGCCAATGGGTAAGGTTCTAGTTTCCATATAATGTAATAAAATTTCGTTCATGTTCTCTGAACTTTTTATGAAGCTAAACTGAAAATAACCGGTGATCGAAAAAGATTACAAGACTCAGAGGCTGCGGTACGGCCTGGGGACGAGATAATGGGACGGCACCAGTACGCTCACTCGCGTGGACTGTCTTTTAGGGAAAAACACTGAACGGTTCCCTTACAGCTCCTTGTGTGTAGCTAGCCACGAGCTCTATATGAGTCAACCCTTTTACCGCTAAAAGGTGACCAAAGTCAACATTCAACAAATTTCAAAACTTTAATTTGTAAAAACAAGTGATCTGTGCCGTGTGAAAATACTATACTACCAAAGAGGTTATTTTAAAGACAGGCCAAGGGAATGATTCACCTAACCCTAAGTATTTGTTCCGCGGGGAATTAGAAATAGTGGCGGATCCAGGTGAGGGGCCCGGGTCCGGGTGACCCCCCCCCCCCCCACCCCCCACCCCCGCCGCCTATTTCTAGACCAAACTGAGGCCCGAAGGGCCGAAAAATTTTTTTTCGAGACCGGGTCCCCCTCCCCCCTTTATCTCAAGAACTGGGCTCGATCTCGTTACCTCACCAGATTAAAAAAATCTACATTTAGAGGACCATTTTTCTGGAATCATAATCTTATTCAAAAATTTACACTCTGAAGAGCGGATTTAAAAAGTTGCGGATTCGTATGCCGGTTTCACCAGATACGTGTGGACGGAAGTTCGAATCCGGAGAGAAAAAGTTACGGATTCCAAAACATTCGGATACGTGTGGACGGGACCTGAGTGTCGGACAGACATTATGCCGAAAAAAGGTGCGCGTAAACCGGTAGCCTGAGTATCAGGCCTTCCCATGGGGGAGGGGGGAGGGGGAGAAGAGAAAGGAAGTTTCTCTCCTTCACCTCTCTCCATTTTTCGCTTCCATCTTTCCCCTTTTCCCCAGAAACGCCTGATACTCAGGCTAGTAAACCGGCTTAAAAGCGACTCTGACGGCTACGTCGATACGATAAGAACGTTACAAAACAACTGGGTTAACGAGCAAAAACAATAGGTTTACACGTGCGCTTTGCATTTTGCCGATTGATTCCTCTGCTTGCTTTACAAACAAAGTCAAATGATCAAATTTAAGGTTTTGTGTAGAATAAAAACGTTAATCGGCATATTTCACTTTCCTATTTAAACACGGAAAGCGTCCCTACAATTCTGGAGTGCAAAGTCTCAACAAAAAAGAAACAATTAAGACTGAGTAATATTTTTAAGGGCAGAAATCATTGTCTTAAGCAATGCATGCGAGCCTTGTAGAAGTAGTTGCTAAAGGTCACAACGCCAAGCAGAGCGTAAAAAAACGCCGTTTAGCCTCGTAAACAACTTTATAAATAAAGCACGTGCCAGCAGGTACCAAATGTACTGTGCTGATTTAAATCAGCTGTGTTTGGTTCCTGTTACTATCCTAAACGGGGTGCTCAGTTAAATATTTCGTCGCTGTCTTACACGTGCATGCTTAGTTACCAGCTAAGTTTAAGTATTTTGGCTCAGCGGGTGTTAACTTGAAGAGCATAAAAAAGGCGCCCCGCGATTTTTACGAGCTGTATCAAGGTGAAAATTGGAAATATGTCAAAACTGGTCCGTTACGCTAAAAAGCCGGTGTGCTTTCATCACGCACACGTTAGAATGCATTAGTTTCCAACTACTTTGTTGACTAGAATCGGTAGAATATACCGTGAACAAGATACGGAAGCACTCACTTCTCACAAAAAAATAATCGCTGACTAGAGAAGGCGTGTTTCTACGGAGAAGGCTTATTGCCACAGACAAGGTCAATTTAAAAACAATCGGCTCATTACTTGTATGAAAAAGAAGAACCAACGCACGACGCAGATGAGTTTTTAAAATGTGAAGCAGTGGCGCTACTAGTGGGCCACCGTAGTTTAATAGCCAAAAATGAACATTTTACCTGAGATCTCAGACGCAAAGCCTAAAACCACTAAATGTCCCATAGAAAAACCTGTTTTCTGACTTGTTTAATGCGCTATTTAAAGCAAAGCAAAAAGCACGCTACATGGAAATTGTACAAAGTAAGTAAAAAAGAACAGTTTGGCACCGGAACCAAACGCTAGTTTTCATAACTAAAATTAAGTGATCCTCAACAGGACATGTGGTTATGACGTCAGAGTTTACCAGAACATAACAATCACCCACATGTATGCTAATATAGTTGTTGTAAACATAAACAAACACAAGATGATCTCGAGATAAAGGCAATCCGCTCGAATAACCTTGCATTGATTGCGATTAGTCTCATTCGCCAGCAGTTTCCCGCTTTAACCATCCTTTGGCGGGAAAAGCTGTCTAACATATCAAGAGCTTGGTGAATTATTATAAATTGTAGGAAAATCGGCGCTCTGACATAACGTCAACCAAGTTGTGTCATCTGCAGTAAAACTGTGAAATAAACCAATAATTACGAAAGATAAAAAAGAGACTGGGAAAGTTTACATCGGCATTAAAAACCATTAAAACAAGCTGTCATTAACAACTGAATATAAATGACTGACATAATTTGTTAAAGTTTGTCAAAATGTAGACCCGCTAAAAGAGTTCAAATCCGTTTAAGTAAAACCGTATTAAACTATCCATTGAAGCTATTCACCAAATTAAACAAAACGATAAGATAACGTATTTTATTTTGCTTTAAATAAAAAAAAAAACACGCGTCAAATAATCGTGTTAGTGTACTATTTCAAGTGCTAAGCCTATAATGTTTTAATTGGTAACTTTTGGACAGTAGCCGTGATGTAACATCACCGATACCAAACCACAAATTAGCGGAAACGATTAGAGTCTAACTGCAATAAAAAGTATCATTTAATTGTGACTGTTTAACAAGGGCAAAGCAAAGAAGCGTTTAGCAACCGAACCAGAGTGAACAAGTTTATCATCTGCTGGTTTTGTATTTTCCAAGTCCTAGACTGTACGTCTCCCCCTTTGAATTACGCTTGCGATGATTCAATTGTTTTTAGCATATATAAGGCGCCTATCTAGATAAAGCTTCTTTGTCCAAGCTTGGCTTATTATCCTGCCGCATTGTCATAGAACTTAATCAGAAACAAAAATTAGAGCTAGCCTTAATCTCTACCGCATCGCCTTCCAAAGATTTTACCCTGGGACTTTCAAACATTTAGTTCAACTCTTTCACAGGCGTTGAATTTTTTGCTGAATGGGTGTTGAAAGCACTAACCACCTTCCACCAAAATAGATCTTTTACGTTCTGTATAGTTTTACTGTAGTTTTAAAAATATCTAAGTTATTGAATGTTATTGTTACATTTGATTATGCAGTTTATCAGTTTGTGAAGAAGTACCATGATATTTAAATGCTCCACACAAATCAAAGTTGTTAACTAACTTGCTTATTAGTACTTTTGTGTCTTAAATGCAAGATCGTTTAACACGGAAATAATTTAAACGCGAAGAAGGTTCATACAACGCAGACAATTAGCTAATAATCGAACTGTGTTTAAAAAATGTTGAAAGATTTAGACTTACCGACTATATTCCATTACAGGTATTCCAAATGCGATGACTAAAGCTAATTTAGTTTTTGTTTTTGTTGCGACAAAAAAGATAGAGAGAGAGAGAGCTGTAGGCAAGGTTGTAAGTTTCTTGAGAGCAAAAAAATCTTCGAATGAGTCTCTTGCGTTCATTTTTAACAACGTTATCATTGCAAAAAGTGCATCATTGAGCATGATAAAGAGTTTTGTAAGGCGACTAAAAGATTGGAATCATGCACTTTTCAGTTATTCTTCCTTGACGGGTCCGAGTCCCGCCACAAAAAGTTAGTCAAAGCTACTTTGTACTATGGATGTACAGCTATCTGTTTGAGATTTAAATGGAAGCCGCAATGAAGCAACCATAAATTTAAAGACCGGCTACGCCTCTAAGTCCTCTAATTTTAAGAAGGGTCGAGTCTTCTGTGGCTAAATTCGCAGTGATTTCGTTATGGGATCAGCCAATCACAAGCCGGCTGATAGTCACGCAGGAAATGCGGGACAAGGTTTTCTTTGTCGCATTAACGAAATCTCTTTTTCGATTTGCTCAGTTTCACTAATTTTTACTTGTCTCGCTTAACTCAACACTGCACGAAGGAAAGGTACAAGCAACCGTGAAGCATGAAATAGAGACCAATTGCCGGGCGTTCGTATTGTACACCTTTTCCGCACGGGATCTGCTCTGAGCGAGCACCTTTTGAGAAACCGTCTAACGATGTGCTTACGAAACGAAGCGACTACGCTAACACAAATCGCGCAGTCAAACCTCGTTACTGAGGCGGCCATAGAGGGGTATAAAGTGGGTTGAATTTAGAGAAAAATATAAGAGCTCTCTTCCCCAGAGACAAAGCAAACTGTCCGTACAAATGAGGTGTATGTATTAAGCGGGCGTCCGTAAAGCGGAGTTTGACTGTACAAGGATAATCACCCCTACGATACATTTTTCTTTATATTCAAAATTACTACACTTGCAAGCCAGAGGAAGGATTAGAAATTTAAGTCATCTAAATCACCTTTAATGACAACATAGAACAAAAATAGACCCTTGATATATGCACTCTAAATTCAGTTCGAAGAAATCCATCGTGAAACACAGGCCCACAGTCGAGTTTATTGTCTGCATTATAGGGTTGTGAAAAGTGCTGACTAGTCACTGATTTTTGTCATTTACGGCTTAGTGCTGATATCCTGCACTAAAAAAATGGCTGTTGAAAATCAGACGTGATAAACCCCTTGCAAATACTAATAAATCGCTGGAAATACGTGAAGCACACGCTTTACAAACACGCTCGCGAAACAAAAACCGCGCGTGTCGTTTGACAGAGAAAAAAAATTCCTACCACTGCTAGCTAATAGCAACTGACATAGTATAAAATGAGCTTATACAGAATAGACACGGTGGAAACATATGCGATCTCTAGCAACTAGTTGAACTCGTTCAGTCGCCACCTCGGTTTTATCCTGTTCAATACTTAAAGCTTCAGCCAAATGTCCTTCTTGAATTTATTTCAAAACTTAATTAATTTTATTAGGTGATTATTTTAACTGACAAGTCAGTTAACGAAATGAATTTCATGTTTATTTCCTTTAAGAGGCAATTTGGCTCCTACCCCGGGGATTTGTTTTGGTTTAGCAGGTTTAAGAGGTTTAACTTAATCAGCACAACAAATCTCCAATGCTTTAAGTAAAAATATAGTGTTCATTTTATACAAGCCAAAACGGAAGAACGGTAGCCATCGCTTCACGGCTAACCAACGCACAAAAGTAATGTTCATTGTGTAGATATCTAAAATATCGGGTACTGTTAACAACAGTATGTAATTTATTCTAATACATATTTCGAAATAGCTTGGCATTCGTTCAATATCATGGACCGTTTTGAAAATTACGGTGTTTTATTTTGCTTGCTGCTATAAGACAATACAGTTATTAGTCTTGCTCATTTTTTGTGTCTTTATACAAAAGAGTACAACCAGTATATCTGGCGGGCCGGAGCGTACATCTGTTTCGTACCGAAAAGCTACCGTGTGTTTACTTAATCCTGTTTTTTTTGTGTTTAGTTCATCGTATATTTCTTTGCGAGACCTCCTTGTAACACCTCCGAAACACAATACAAGATGGCAGTTACAATAACAGTGAAAGAATGAGTCCATTCACCAGTCCATTCTGCGCTTGTAAATGGTCGGGTTAAAAACAAAACTTGCAATTAAAACATGCCGCGAAAAGAAGCGATACAAACTAAAAACAACACGTTCAAGCTCAGAATTGCTTATTGTTTAAGTTACACCTGCGAACTAGATTCTCGTTTTGAATTAAATCTCAACCGTACTATAAAAAGTTTTTTTTTCTGAAAGATGAATCCTTCAAATGGCACAACAATTCAAACTTAGAGAACAGTTTCTTTCTTGCCGAAAAGTGTTTTGTTTCTTTGGTAAATTTTCTCTGTTCTTAAATTTGTTTACGATTCACCGCTGCCGCAGAAACAAAAGTAAACAAAAGACCAAGTCTGCATGATATTGCAGAGCTAGAGAACACAGTTTACTCTTGACTGGTCTTAGGGCTTCCAAGTCTTTTAGTCTGGGTTGACACGGAGTTGAACGAAAGCGTGTAATTCATATAGATCGCGCACGAAAAGAAAGGGATTTTGTCGCGTGCCTCGTAAGTAGGCGCGAGGCATTACCGAAAGTAATAATACATTAAATAGCCAATTATAACTGTTACCATGGCTACTTTCGCCGTTATTATTGCTGTTGTTGGTAGAAAATGTCCAGTGTTTGCCCCAGAACCAAGAACTTTGAAAAAGGCTTTCCAAACTAATTTCTATTGTTTTCTCTGAGTACGACATTTTTCCCGCACAAAAGCGAAACTTATGTCGCAAGAATTTGATTTGGGTAAAACCTATCCCTCGTAAATTACTTATCTATTTTTAACAAATTTGTCCTAATGCAGTTAAAAGCGTGTATACCCGAAGGTGTTTTAAATCTCTAATAATTTTTTTTCCGCTGAGGGCGGATTTACGCATCACACAGGAAACTTGGGCCGGCTTCTAAAACACAAACAAAAAAGATACAAATTAATTTTCTCAAATTACCAAATTAAATAAATGTTCTTTGATAGTGTAAATGGCCCTCAAAGATGCAAATTTGATTCCTTTTTAACTCAAACAATAGGCAGTTTTAAAAGAAGGTTGTTCCGAAAGGATGCACATCTTAATGTTTGAAATAATCACACCGGCCGACATATTTGAATGGGATTTGGCACTTGAAATCATTTCCGATTGAGCATCATTCTATAATTAAAATCTTGAATTTTCATAAGCGGTTTCAAGGCAAAAACGAATTTATTTGCCAAAGGCGAATGGTTATTTTACCGGAAATTAATAAGTTCACATTTATTAGTCTTCTTTTGCGAATTAGAGGTTGTTTCACCTGCCCTTAGCAATCATTTTTCTTATCCACTGTTTCATTTATTTCGCATGAAACTTTCAAGTTATCGATTTAGTTATTTTACCCCGTTATGTGAAACATTATCACTTTTTGATCAGCATTAAAAAACAGATCTGAAATAACATCAGCTAGAAAACAGATAAATCGAGGAAGGAACATGGTTTACACGAACACGCCCTTTACCTTCCGTCAAAACACTTCCAAAGATAAGGGACCCCAGTTAACCAACATGATTTTGTGAGAGTATCCTTTGAAAACAATTAAAAGCCAGAAGCAAAATATTAGGGAGAAATAAATAACCTTTGTTCATTTTTTTGTATTAATCTTTTATGAACAAGGAAAGGGGCTTTTAACCGATACCAAAACGCTTTTACCGAATACCAGTTTCACGTCACGCTGAAAATAGCTGATCATTTCTAATTATATAGCAAGAAAATTTACGTAATGGAGGGTAGATGAATAGTGCTACTCGCCACGCAACACGGCGAAAGTAAAAAAATTTCTCCCTTTTTTTCTCGGAGAAAAAAGGGCAAGTAGATTGTCAGAATGAGCATTTAAGAATAGATGCTGGATGAGCCAAAATTTAATCGAGGATCTTCCAGAAAACCTTATTTCGAGTTAAAAGTGCAGTTTAAACTCCACTTAGACAACACGGAAATAATAAAATTACAAAAATTAAAGTTGTTAATTCAATTCTCTTACTTCATGGCCGCTACAAAACAGATAGACCAATTTTAATTATAGAATGTACCGGTAATTCGTGACTACAAGGTCAGAGCGAGACTACAAAACACCTCAAAATGTTTCAAATTAATTATCAATATTTAAATACCAGAACCCAACATAGGGTACCAACAGCGCAAAATAATGACATCAAGCCGAGTTAAAATGCTGAACGATGAGTTTTTAATATTCAGTGCCATTTTGCTTTTCAAAATACATCGATTACGAATTACCATTTAAAAGCCCATTTTTGCGACCAAAATTACAAGGCACAACGCAAAATTAACGACGCTTAGAGCGCTTTGTTCCTTCAGGAACCTGGGAAATTCTAGTTGTGTTCTCAAATTCTTGGAAAAAGAAGAAAGATGAAAAAGAAAATGAATGGCGTAAATATATCGAGCACCGTTTTCGTTTTGTAAATGAACTTTAAATGATGACTTGAAGTCTGACAGTTAGAGGGCAGGTGCTCTACGCTCTTTCTTTTACCAAAGCCTCAAGCTTAAAGGTTGTAACATTTATCTACGTGGGCCAGTTCTTATCAAGCATAATTACCGTAAAGATACCATCGACACACACGCCTGTTTTAATCATTTTTTCCGCATAGCTAAAGCGACAAAACCATAAAACGTGCACGGAAAGCACGCAAGGAAAAACCATTAATTTTCAGCACGATTCAGTGCCCAATACTTTCCGCTAAATACTGCACTTTGCGGTTTTTGCTATAGAGTAAGTTATCTTTTTGTGTTAATAGTAATTTTGCTAATTTACCGAGGATTTGCTGGTTGATACAACAATGGAAAACCGCAACATTTTAATTTGTATCATGTTTGTAAAATTTCAAGTGCTTTTCTTTTCCTTGGCAAATAGCCTTAAAATTTGAATTGAGAACTTCTTGGCTCCTAACTTAAGCCTTAAAAGCTTAGAATTTTGCCGTTTGCGGCATTCTCGAGGCTTTACTATTGAATAAGCTTCTGTGACACCCAGGAAAGCCTTCGTAAATAAAGCTAAACGATAAGCCTAGATTAGATATTTTCTGGATTTTATTCCATAACATATTCAGCTTAATAATTTTCTCTGTAAGCTAGGTGACGGCGTGCCGACCCAAAGCCCAATATTAACTTCAATTCCACAAAAGAAAAAAAAAATGACGCGTTCGATTGCGCCTTCAAGATGAAATACGTTGTGTTGGTGCATACTGTTCTAAAGGAATTGTTTGGTTTAAGGTGTCTTCAAAAGTGAAACTTTTTAAATACTGAAGCATATTTATCCTTTCTTTACCAATTTTAAAACAGATAAAACTCCTGCGTCATTAGTCTAACCTTAGCTAAAGACTGAAGTATATATTAATCAATTTTAAAACAGTGCAACCGATAGCTCTTGTAAAAGGAGACTTGGAAGAATAAATTTTTTGAAGATTTTAATGACTGAACATTACGCTATTTCTTTTCTACAAAAGAATGACATTGGTTTTTACATAGCGAGGAGATTGAAAACTGAGATATATATCGCTTTAAAGTTTCTTCGCTGAAATGGAGGATGTCAATAATTCTACTGTTTAAATACGCCTTCCTCAGGAAACACACAGACTCAAGGCAATGTCATTTAAAAACCTGATATGTTCAATTTGTAGCAAATTTATCGCGATTTGATATTAATGAGTTGGCTCAGAAGGATGCAGCTATTTAACCAGTTTTTATTATTTGGCGACTTTGTAAACCCCTTTTTGGTTGCCTGAATGGAGTTTGAGCGATTTTCTCAGTCGGGCGTCTTCTTAATGTTATATAGAATCGAAACCTTCTGTTTAACTCTTGATAATTTTCCCATACCCACACCGAGAGAAGATGAATTCACAAGAACACATGTATTCGCCTTAAATGTTGTGGGGCCGGGTTTGCATGATTTGAACTACTTAGAAAGTTTCGAAGTTCAAGAAAACTAATAAAAGATTACCGAGTCCAAATATCTAGCGCACAACCGCGTATCATTCCTTATAGACAAAGTACCAGCTCGCGCACATTGTTTACGGGCCATTAAATTGATATTTAAATGCATGCAAACGAAGCCCCCGCTTATAAAATGTCATTTAAGCAATACTGATTGTCCGAGATGCGATATTGATGAATTACCGAAGGCGAGTTGTCAGTTCAAATCATAATAAGGAAAAATATATAGCGAGGATGGAGAAACATGGTTTTGTCAGTGCAAAACGGAACCAGGAAATTCTCGTAATTGTTTTTCTTGGCGGTTACACTCGGTGGATTATCCAATTTGAATGTATTTCCTTTCTCTAAAATAGAAAATCATGTTTCACTCAAAACCGATACATCAAATTGCGGTTTTCAAAACTACAGGTGGAAATTTTAACAGTTTGACTCCATAAAATAATTATGTTTTGTTTCGAAGTAAAAATTGTCCTTCCCGCCTGGAATCAATGAGAAAAATATTAAGAGCTGTCCTCAGGAAAACTCCCTTACTTTTTCCCAACAAAAAAAATTAAAATAATTCAGTTAAACAGAGATCCCTTTGTTGGACAAGTGCTAGTGCAGGGACAAGAATATAACACTTCAAAAGTTCTCTTGATTTGATCACTCCAGGAGAGTTTTCTGTGAAATAGTGCTAATTTGTACTACTTTTCGGCTCAATATAACGTGCAGTACACAAGAAGTTTTTTCGCTTTTAAAAGGTTTTAACCGTTTGAAACAAAATCGCTCGCCTCTCCTTTATCAACTTGTGGCAAATAAAGCATATAGAGTTACGCGTGAAAAAAAAATGCAAAATTTTGATGTACAAAATTTCGAATACGGTAAATGGCCTTAAAAATAAAACAGTCCTGAATTTCTCTTTCATTTTCTTTCTTTATTTATATAGAAACCATTGGTCTTTCTTAAGACTTCCCGTAATCATCTTTTCTACAACAATCAAGGGAAACATATGTTTCCAAGAAGTACTTTGTACAACCTTCCCTTCGCTAAAAATACAAACTGGCATTATCACTTCCAATGATATACTAAAGAAGCTATGCCCACTCGTTTATGCATTTGCAACACCTCTTGTCCAAAATATTCTTTGATCGAACGCATTCCGCACCAAAATTTCCTAACCGCAACGGTCCTGGTTAGCGGACGCGGATTAGCGACGTATTTCGCCAAGAAATTAATTAGCCTTATAATGAATTATCCGATTAACGCAACCATTTTGGTCACTTCATTGTTTTACAGAGCCTTTGTACAAAAATCTCTATCTTATTCTACAATTTCTAGATATAAATGTACACGAATTGTTCTTTAAGCTAAATAAGCCTTGGCAATTTATCTAGGTGGAAGGAGAAAGAGGGCTTTGTGCTGTGTCTGTTACTTGATGCTGGGCAGCTTTTTTGTCTTTCTTCCACTTAACGCGGCGATTTTGGAACCAAATCTTCACTTGCTTCTCGGATAGATCGAGCAGAGCAGCAATCTGTATCCTGCGTAGCCGAGATAAATATCTGTTTTGGCTGAATTCTTTCTCCAGTTCTAAGAGCTGCATGCTTGTGTATGCGGTTCTGATACGCTTTGATCTTGAATTTCCTCTGTTAATGTTGCTGGGTTCGTTACGGGATACTGTTGGATAAAAACAAGAAATAAAAAAACCCGTAAGTTTTCGCAGCTTTATCAACAAATATTATCAAGCGAGTATGCAG